TCACTTTCATGATCTGAGGGCTATTTTCTTCTTTTAACCTGATGATATGTCAGTATTAGTTACTTTTTGACATTTTTTGCTAAAATGAACTTCTATTTGGAGGTGACTGTGATGAGATGTGATGTTACTTTACTTTTTAAAGTTAGAGAAATCTGTTAATTACTAGTAATTTCTGAGTTTACACCGGGTCCAACGATTTTAAAAGTCTAGTCCCTGGAAGGCTAGTTCGGGAAAAAGCTATTGTTTCTATGTTTCGGCTACACATTTTTGTAAAGTACCAGGTTACATTATTGTATAGTGCATAACGTGTATACACTATACGTAAAGCGTTATTTTTGTCAGTCTGTAAATGGCGATCCTGTTTATACCAATAAAACGATGAATGAAGTATAAACATGTATTACTTTTTTTTATGAATGAAATGTGTTCCTAAAACATCGAAATGTGTCCCGGGAGCGGGGGAAGCGATTTCTCGGGAACCGGGCAGCGAAGCCCCGGGAGCGGGAAGGGGGGTCCCCGTAGTGGGTGCAGTGGGATCCCGAGAACGGGAACAGCAGGGCCCCGGGAATGGGAGCAACGGGTCCCGGGGACGGGAGCAACCGGTCCCGAGAGCGGGGCGGGTTTTGGCCGGGGGGGGGGTGTAGTACCGGCATGTCCGACCCGTACACGGCGAATTTCCGCTGCCGTGTGGAGAATAATTAGGTGATAATTGCCGCTAAATTATGCATATTCCAGCAACGCTCGGAGCGGTGCACGGCCATTTCCCTGCCGTGTACGGGGATGTACAGGGATCGTGTCCGGGCATATAACGCCCAGTACACGACCTGCACACAAAAAGTGGTTCATTTCCGGGAGTGTACAGGACATGTACGGGACTGGACACGTTTCGTGTGCAGGTCGGAAACCCCCGGGTTCTACCGGAAACCTAAAATATCCGGGAAAGTGTGCGGCAATTTCTCACACGGAAACGAGGGATTTTATGCGGTGCGATAGGATCTGGCCCGTGTTCTAGTCTGACGTTCCAACACAAAAAGGGGTCTAAGCATCAGTAACGGGCCCGGTATACAAACGGAAGGCGTCAAACTGGAACGTTATTAAATTTTATCTGCGGACAATCATGCATATCTCCGTAACGATACCGAACTTTGGACCCTATCCACCGTTCCCAGCTTAACGTTCAGGTTCTTCAACAAAAGAAAGTCATGGAGACAAAAGAGTCACGTGCACGTTCTAATAGTCGTAAAGTTTGTTTATGTAACGTTAACGTTACAGAAAGTTTAATGAATGTCATAACTATGATCAACAAATTGTCCATGTGTGATTTCACACTCAGTTTGTGAAGTCCTGAGGAGAATTTCACGTATAGTATAGCCTCTTTATAGTATTAGCAGCCTCTATACGACGTTAACTATAATATAACATAATAATATAATTCTACATAGGTGCGTCCCACAAATATATGTTGCTCATCCCTTTGCAACAAGAACGCCAGTGGTCAGTGACATTGCACCTTGTCACTAAGCTTAAAACACTGGTAACTCGGAAATACGATTCATCTTAAGCAAGCATTAATGTTGGACGTAACGTATAGTATCAATTAAAGTATTTTTGTGTTGATGAAGGTATTGGTAGATATAAAGTTATATATATATAGAATACAACACGGTGTATTCCGTATCGCCCGAGGTACCAGCCCGACCGCGCGTCGGATCGCCCGACGGCCGCAGGCCGGAGGGAGATCCGATCCGCGGGAGGGCTGGGACCGAGGGTGATGCGGAATACACCGTGTTGTATTTTATTTATGTCATACCCACCCAAGAAAAAGCGCCTTTCAATGCGAAATGAGCGAAAATTTGGTGACCCTAAACCCAAAAAATGCGACAACATCAATTCCAACGTCCGAATTTTGTATTCGAATTTCGAAATCGGTGCACGCGGTTAGGCCGAAAGGCGTTCGAATCGTTCTATGGAACATTTGGAAGCCCCGGGCCGTACGCGTAAGAACCCCCGGGCCGTACCGCTAGTTATCACACGGGCCGGAACACCCGTATCGAACGTAATCGCGGCCCAGGTAGGACATAAATATATATATCAATGAAAGTCTAATGCGTGAAACGTTTCTCTACATTCTTACATATCCACTTACAACTCCAAGGATGACGCTTTGATAATACTTCAAATTATTCTTATATTTAAACCTATAGCCATGTGAAATTAAAGTCTTTAGCCGATCGTCCATTCTAGCTTCCTTTGCAGACGTAGGTTGGTAGCGCGAGCCCAGTGTACACCGTTACTTCTCCCTTCCTAGAGAGATAGCATGCCAGAGGAGTGCAGCACACTGTTCTCTCCAGCAGACCAACTCCCTCGGCATGCTACGTATCTCTCTATTTGGTCGATTTCTACTCTTTCCAGCCGCCTCCCGAAGCCTGGTACAGGCTACTGCAGGCCCCCCAATATTCTACTTCTAGCTCCCCTTGCAGACGTAGGTTGGTAACGCCAGCCCTGTGTACACCGTCACTTCCCCCTTCCCGACGTCGAATGCCGGGCGGACCGGGTCCTGGAACTTCGCGTGGAAGGTGTAGATGTGCTCCTTTTTCATCGGGTTGTAGAAGGACAGGGTGCCGCCGGTGTAGTTCAGCAACACGCCCACTCTGCATGGGGAATTAAGCGGTATTTATTTATTTATTTATTGATATACACCGACGAAATGCATTGAAGTCCGTAACTACGCTATGTTGCGGTACAGTGCCCTGTATGTCTGTGTAGATGGTGTGTTCAGCACCATGGACAGGTTTGTGTACAGATTGGGTTGTGTACAATCACCCTGTATGTTTGTGTGAATGGTGCGTGTAGGGACAGATGTGAGTTGTTCGATGAGCGGTTGGATAGATGAGATATTGGGGTCAACGGTAGCTAGGTTTTGTTTAATTTACTAATTTCAGCTTTTTTTTCCTTTGCGTGGGTATAAACTTGTCACTTTCTTGTGGAAAAGTTTTTTTAAACATTGAAATAAGGAAAGTTAGTAAAAATTCTTCAATCAGTGACTGTATTTTTGTAAGGTAGATTACGTACCTCCAAATTTTCGGTGTCGACTGTACACCTTTCTCAAGGAGTGACCTAGTCTCGCGCAACACGAGACTAGGTCGAGACTTGTGTGGATCTTCTGACCTCCCCCGCCTCCTTGCGGAGTAGGGGTAGGTAGGACTTGGGCAGCTCCCAACCTTCGTTGCGATTCATCCCGGCACGTTCCAACTGGATATGGACCGCTTCCTTAATCTTTCTATGTGACTTCCGGGATTCCTGGTCTATAATCTTAACAATGTCCAAAATAGGGCCGTTTGTGACCCTATGTCCCGCTTTGAGTTCATGTTGGCTAAGCGCGGAGACTAGGTCACTCCTTGAGAAAGGTGTACAGTCGACACCGAAAATTTGGAGGTACGTAATCTACCTTACAAAAATACAGTCACTGATTGAAGAATTTCTACTAACTGTTAATTCTACGTGACTGATGAACCTCTTCAATGAAATAAGGAAAAGTCTGAAGCCATGTTTTAGACCTTCTCATCGTACTTTTCCCTGCATGGACATAGGTCTTATCTAGTCTTATCTACCCAATATACTGTACCTGTTCTGTACCGGAGGCAGAGAGAGCTGCACCACCGTCCCGGCATGCAGCGCGGAGTACTCGTGCAGGTACCGGTCCACGCACCACGAAGTCTCATTCTCGCCCAGCGCGTGATCTCGCGGGAACTTGTCGGACGCCACGCCCACCCGGTAGAAGATGCTCCGAGACACGTCCACCTGTAAAAGATCGGGAAAGTCCCTGTTTCAGACTTCAACTTTCTTTCAACACTGCACTGTATGTTTATGTGTGTGGATGGTGTGTTCAGCACCAAGGAAAGATATGCGTAGATATTCTATGGACAGATATGCGTAGATATTCTACTGAGCAACACTGCGCACGTGCTGAATGTTTGTGTGGATGGTGTATTCAGCACCAGGGACAGAATGGGTGTACAGATTGTTTTTGAGCTAAGTGTCGACATATCTTGGAAATTAGTGCTCTGTAATCTGAACACACGCACACACGCACACACACACACACACACACACACACACACACACACACACATTGTCGGACACACACACACACACACACACACACACACACACACACACACACCTTGTACACACAACACACACTCTTTTTCTTTCTTTCTCTCTCCCTGTCTCTCTCTCTCTCTCCCCTCTCTCTCTCTCCCCTCTCTCTCTCTCTTCCCTCTCTCACTCCCCCCCTCTCTCACCTGCCAGTAGTGAATGCCGCTGCTGACGCTGACGTCCCCCATGGTGCGTGATGCTGTGTTTGCTGAGGGAGACTGAGTGAGTGAGTGAGTGAGTGAGTGAGAGAGAGATAGAGAATTAGAGACAGAGAGAGAGAATGAGAGACAGAGAGAGAGAGAGTGAGACACACACACCTCCCAGTAGTGAATCCCACTGGACACGCTGACGTCCCCCACGGCGATGGTGTGTTTACTGAAGCGGTTGGGCGTGTCGAACGTGCGGCGAGTCGGGAGACTGTCGGGGTCGTAACTCATCGTGCTGTTGTTGTTCGACAGTCGGATGTACTTGTGCGCCGTCTTCGGGTCCAACTCAAACTGCGTCCCCACACCTTTAAACAGTACTAGTAAGTCAATGCATGAATGAGATCATAAGTACAAACAAATGCCCCAATTAGGGCTAATTGCAAGTTCATGATGACGAATACAGTGTTATCAAGAATTAGTTCCTACAGTATGCTAATATGTATTGAGCTGGATTTGCTGGGTTTGACTCATTCTTTGCAGGCAGTAGTAAAAGATGAAATTATCTACTTCTTCTATAATACGAAGATTATTTGATTTTGATGGTAGTTTTTCTATGAATGGATTAATGAATTGGTGGGTGAGTAAATGGACTATTTGCTAATAATAGCACCACGCCCTTGGCCCTGTTTTTGTATGTGTGCATTTGTCACCTTTTCTACTCTTCCGCTTGAAGAATCCCGGCAGCCTCTGCGCTAACGACTGGCGCTGACTTTCTTCCTCCACAACTTCCGGCTCCGGACTACCTGTGAAGGGAGATTAAACCAGCTTTTAACAAGAACAGTTTTGTAACGAAACAAGCCACAGGGGTGCCAACAATCTATTCATTTACAGGTCTCATCAAGGCCTACCCACATACCAGATATCAAGTAAGACAATCCAGCTTTAATATTCTTCACGAGTTATCGTGCACACACACACACACACACACCACGGAAAACATTCTTGGCGAAGATAACTAGCAAGCTTAAGAGCTAACTTCCACCAATACAGTATCGTACAAAAGCAAATCCACCTATGCATTTTATACAGCTAAGGTTTTTACATTTCATCGTCTTCGAGTAGCCTCCTACATGTAGACCCAGAGCAGGTCTGATGCATGGTGGCCGGCATTTGGTTCAATAAGTGCTAATTTGCAGCTTTCTTTTACAAGGAAAGCTGGGTTTTGCCGCCTAGAAGATGCATGGAAACAAACGCCGATCGGTACCAGGTCTGCTCAGGTAGCTAATCTTTGAGTAGCATTCTGTCTGTGAAAGAAAAGAAAGTTTGAACATCATCCTGATTGACTTACCTCTCTGGAAGTCGAGTCTGATGAGCGAGTCGATGTACTGGGACACGTCAAAGTCCAGCGGCGTCAGGTGCTCACTGGTGACGGGGTACAGCGACAACTGGTCCATGGCGTGACCTCTCACTCTGACGGCACAAGCGACAAGGTACGGTTAGGAAAGCGCAAATGATAAGGATGCTGTAAAACAAGCATAGATCCCAAAAATCGCTGTGTGTGTGTGTGTCTGTCTGTCTGTCTCTTTTTTCTCTCTCTCTGTCACTTTGCCTCTTTCTGTCTGTCTCTGTCTGTCTCTCTTTATCGCTATCTCTCTCTCACTTATATTTGTTTCGAAACTAACCAACTAACCAACAACTACTACAGAAAACGACTACAGTAAGTACAACTTGTTAGCAGTCACAAGTTATAGACACCTCCACGCAACTTGATGTGAAAAAGGAATTCGAAGAATTTACTCACCGGTCCTTAAGTGTCTTTGCAGTCTAGCGTGGAAGCGTGGAATTCGGAGATCAAAATGCAATGAAACAAATTCGTTATATCATTGTGTATTGTGTGTATGAAATTTCTAATGCAGGTATGTTTCATATGAATTTAAAACAATCAATCAATAGAAATTTACAGTAGATGAAAATATACTGTCTTTACAATTTTACCCTCACGTTTTCATTTGAAACGTAACATTTATGCATCTTTCATAAAGTCAGCGAAAGCACCTTTCTTCTTCTTAATTGTAAGGACTAAGGAGCGTACCTGAAGACATTTTGCTGGGGCTCCTTTCTCAAGTAGTTCCTGAGCTGTGTCTAAGACTTCCTTGACCTTGTCCAGCTCCTGGGTACAGCTGGTCATCTGCTGGTCCAGACTTTCCCGCCTCTCGTCCTCCTCTCGCGAGATTTCGTCCAGCAGGGCCTTCTTCCGCTGCTGGATGACGGAGATGAGCGCATCGCAACCCTCCGTCACCATGTGCTTCCGCTGCGATGCGTTTGTCTGTAATCAAAATGGCGACTTGATCATTATGTTTACCGAAGGAAAACATATTGTTTTTGCTCAGTTTCCTCTTCTCCAAACATATAAGGTCAATGACCCGGGCCAGACGTCTCTCACCATGGTAACTGGTGTTGGGATACATAATGTTGCAATTTTATAGCAGGAGGGATTTAGACTTCTGTCACCATATATATATGAATGTGCTTGATTAGACCGTATGCAAAGGGAAACCTTTAATATGCATTTGCTTTGCAAATGTTACCTTTCTAGTGTTTCATTACTTTCATTGCTGAACTCTTGAAAACGTGCACAAAATGACATGACTTGGTTTTCCATTAGTCCATGAATAACCATGTTATCATAAAAGGCTCCGCCACTAAGGCGTCGCCAAAATATCCCCATTTGACTCACATACTTTAGAACTCTCAGACTCAGACTAACGATTAAAACTGAACTACAAGACGGGGTTTTAGGTTAAATCTGAATGATAAAGATGTTGAGTTTTGTTTTTGTTGCAAATTTATCTATTTTCTATGCCGCAGTTTGCAGTTTCTAGTGAGAAAACTTCATTATCACTAAATTTAAAGCCAGCAATAGTAAACGCCAGCGAGTGTTACTACAGTGGCACGAAAAGTTTTAGATGCAGTTCTGGATCCAGAGTACGTCTCAAACAACCTTTTGTCTCGAACAGTATCGAAAAAAAAATGCACATAAAAGCCTACTGAAAGGAACCATGCATAAAATGACACTAGGCGAACGACCAGATAACAATCAACATGCGTTTTACGATCCAAAAGGTGACAAAATTATACCCCGGAAACTACCGGCCAGGAACAGGTGTTTACCTGTACAGTTCTCGGATTTTGGGCTAAAATCACCTTTTAAGTTGATCGGTATGTAGTGTGATTTCTTTGCAAAACGACTTGTTGCATGACCTTTGTTTATACATGTATGAGGCATGATATTTGCCCAATAAACTTAATACCGTGACGTTTGCTGTGACTATCTTGAGTGGCGTTTGAGTCTCCTAAGGGAGTTGGTAAGGTAGCTTTGGTTGCACTCTTTCGGAAAGTTTTGGGTTTTTCTTCTGAAAGTTATTTTTACCTTAAAGCTTGGCTGATTTGTTCAGTGACTTGCCTGGCAGGCGGGCTCGGAACCCGGGTTTGTTTGTTTGTTTATTAAGGAATCACCACTCTTCCTGGAGTACTCTTACATGAAATACGTACATACAATATAACAGTACTACTATTTGCATTCTCTTCTTACTACTTAAAAAAAACGTTGGAGGTCGTGATGGGAGCATCCTAACTAGGGGCCAATTTTACCGCATTTGAAATGTTTTCCTAATGCTAAGATTGTCTACCCCAAATAAAAATGTCCCCACCACACTTGTGTGCTGAACTCACCTCTACCCTTTCACTGATGACCCGTAACTTCTCCACAAAGTTCTCCACACTCTCCGTCTTTGTTCTCAACATCTCGATGTTCCTTAAGAATGCGTCCTTAAAGAAAAAAGGAGGTAAATATTAAGTCAGCTGACAAGGGCGATAAGTACCTAATCTTCAAAACAAGTGTCCAGCTTTGTGAACTATCGTGTTATGACCTTCGTTTGAAGGTCTACCATTCTACAAGAACTAATAAATATACATGTACACTGTACATAGCAAATATTACAGAAAGAACACGCTTGCGGTAATCTCTAAGCAGATGTCAAAAACAAAAATATCGTACGGCATAACTTAATCTCCCAGGAAAAAGTCTTGAAATTGGAGGTTTGACGCTGTGTAATGACAAGAGGGGGTCAAGGGATTAGGTAAGTAGGTAATGGCAAGACGGAATAAGTTGGACAGTTTATTTATGAAGATTTACCACATTTGTGGAAGGATTGACATAACAGGTGACCATCACCTTTTCAAAGATGTCAACCCCGAGACCAAACTGTAAGGTTTGAACCACTCACACCGGGAAGGTCCCCTACTCTTTTCGATAAGTGCGGTGGGTTTAGTTTTACCGCGTCTTAATGAACTTCTGTTCCTTAAGGTATAAAACAATCCTCAATTCGACGTTACCTTTCGTCTTGACCAGGCGTCTTCCAGTTGCAGGAGGGTGTGGTTCTTGTGGTCATACGCCATGCACTTGTAGCAGACAGGCCTCTCGCAGGGGTCGCAAAACATCTTCAACTCCAGCGCTTCGTCGGCGTGGTCCTGGCAGGTCGGCGCTTCGGGGCCCCTCGCGTTTGCCCCCGAGGACTGTGCGGCTAGCGTCCCTTGCTTACACCGATCCACCATTTGCTGGAGTACGAGGTTGCGCTGGAGAGAGTCCACGGAGCGAACGACGACATCGTAGCGGCACTCCGGGCACGGGAACATGTGGACGCCGTAGGCCGTGCCTCCACGGGACTCGATCAGACCCCGGACGCACTCCCTACACAGGTTGTGACAGCAGGGGAGGAACAGAGGCTCCGAGAAGACGTCCAAACACACCGGGCAGCGAAGCTCCTCCGGAAAATCCACCCCGTCGAGTCCAGGCACCGCCGCGGACGCCATGTTGGCCGAAGAGTGGTAGTGCCTCCGCCTCCACTCATTTGGCCCTCCCTTTAAAACACACACACACAGCGCCACAGAGAAAAATAAAACGCTCTCCTTTAACCAAATGTTGAACCAACGCTATTGACACAAAGCCGATTAGGTCACACCATACGCTATCCGAGACAAAAGGAGCCGAGGGAGGAAAACAAAGACGACGGGCCAACTCACCTAGCCTCCATAGCGCCAAACTTCTGGGGGTTTGGGGGGTCTTCCTGGTCTTTGGGAGCTTTTATGTGCTATTTTCTGACTGCATATAGACAACATAGCCGGCCTGGTTGAATTACCCCCACGGTTTTTAGAACTGGGCTAATCAGAAAACAGCCGAAGACCACCAAACCCCCAGTTCTATACGCCTGCTACGGAGGCTACAACTTACCTGCGATCTGACACCTGTTGACGGCGCTAGGCGAAGGTCTGGAGCGGAAAAAACGCGCTCCATTTTCGGGGCTCTCTTCTCACGACTAACTCCAAACCACGTTAAGACATTCCTGCTCAAACTCAAAGCTGTAATTTCCATACCTCCGTGTTCATTTGGCATGTCGTGGCATTCTTTGCTCCCGACTAACAAAACAGTCCGCGACAAGGGCTCGATTTTACGGCATGATAATGAAACGGTCCGCAAAATACCTGTTATTTAGAACAATTTAAAGACATTCATTCAGTATTTAGCTCGCGCTTCAAAGGACGTCCAGCCTGGCAGTTTAGACTTAATTGGTCGGTAATTTTGCGAGCTGAATAAAAAGAAGACGGTTTTAATTTGGCGTGCCGTTTATTTTTCAGACAACTTCTGCAATAAAATCAGCGCTGCCCAGGAAGAAGCAAAACGCCAAATCGCCGTCCCTTTAAATAGGTGAAGAAACAAAAAGCTCTTCAAAAATTTCCAATTGAGTCTCTTGGGGTTTTACGAACATATAACTTAGTCTCTTATCAACCTTTAGTCGTGGAGGTACATGTAATGCTATCTTTCGTCTTTCTTTCTGAAGTACCAGTAACTTACAAGTTTGTTATGCTGTCTTATATCCATCTAAAGTGCAGTTTAAGAAGAAATTCCTATTAGATTTGGTCTCTTGGAAAGTAATTGCTGAATCGTTCGTTCTATGATAATGATAGTAATTGTCGCCTGGGTTAATTTTTAGCTTGCGAACTAAGAACATTTTAAGTGTTGAATAGCCCACTTGAACGTTTCCTTGTTTCAGAACCCTGCCTATATGCACAGGCCAGGTACTGGCCGCCCCTTGCTCCCCTCCGTCAGGTACTTCCAACCAGCTCTACGAAGGGCAATAGTCTCTGCTTCAGAAGTTTCAGAAGGCGGTACGATAAATACAACATTTTAGTCTGAGAAACTTTTATTAGTTAAAGAATACACAGGCAGGATCTAGGAAGCTTTAGCATCTTTTTTAGCTAATAGTTTTTTTTTTTAATCCATTCAGTTTGACGTAAAGCAGCGCCAGCTATTTCCATGTACTACTGAGTCATAGCCTCTACCAGGCTTCGGGAGGCGGCTGGAAAGAGTAGAAATCGGCCAAATAGAGAGATAGCATGCCGGGAGAGTTGGTCCACTCAGGTGCAACAAATTGTACTCTCAAGCGGACCAATTCCCCCGGCATGTTATCTCTATATTTAGCCGATTTCTACTCTTTCCATGCAGCCTCCCGAAGACTGGTAGAGGCTATGACTCAGTATAGCGCATGGAAATCGCTCTCGAAACCTGGTAGAGGCTATACCTTTAAGAACTTGACTTTCAACAACATTTGAAATATGCATAAAATTACATCTGCTACATATTAGTGATGCAACGATTCAGAGACAACTCAGCTTCCAAAGTTGTTTTGGACGGAACAACCACCTGTGAAGGCAGGGCGGATGTTCGAATGCTCAGAGTCAGACGACGAATCAGCAGCTCCCGAATCGGAGGGCGTCGAACCGGCCGCTATGTTTACTAAGCCACATGTGCGGATTGGCGGCAGAGTTTGAAAACGAATGATTTCCGGTTATAATTTTGTGAAAAAAATTGCGTTCTCTTGACGATTCTTAAATTTACAGACGATTCTAGGAAAGTAAGATGGCCTCGAAGCCGCACTGGTTCATGCAAGAGGTAGGTTGACGTGCTTTTAAGGGCTGAATATTCAGACGTAAGTTGATAAAATAGTTTGCCCCCCTCCCACTCGTAAAAATGTTGTCATTCATAAATATTTTCATAAGTGTGTGCGTTTGCGTGTGTGTATATGTGTGTATGTGCGTGTGTGTGTGTGTGTGTGTTGTGAGTGTGTGTGTGTGTGTGTGAGCATGCGTGTGTGTGTGAGTGAGTGTGTGTGTGTGTTGTGAGTGTGTGTGTGAGTGTGTGTGTGCATGTGTCTGTGTGTAGTGTTTGTGTGTGTGTGTGTTGTGAGTGTGTGTGTGAGTGTGTGTGAGTGAGTGAGTGTGTGTGTGTGTGTGTGTGTGTGAGCGAGTGTGTGAGTGTGTGTGTGTGTGTGTGTGTGTGAGCGAGTATGTGAGTGTGTGTGTGTGTGTGTGTGTGTGAGCGAGTATGTGAGTGTGTGTGTGTGTGTGTATTATGTGTATGTGTTTAGACAAGTTGAAGTCATCTCTGCAGCTCTGGGTGATTTTGTCTGGGGTACTGGAAGGGTCACAAAGCAGTATGGGTAATGTGCTGAAGTCTGCCATCGCACAATTTTGCCTTGTTGTTGGACCATACCATTGCCCCCCCCCAGGTGTTCCTGTTTCGCACTATTGCCAGCCAGCTGTGGGCCGTACTACTGGTGCCGGTGGGGGTGTACAGCCTCCTCCTCACAACAAAAGTGGACCTGCTCCACCCATGGAGATGGATTATAGGTAATTTTTCTTTTTTGATGACAGTCCTCCCCATCCCACCTCTGCTTGGATCTCAGGAAAAAAATGTGTTGTTATGTTTTTACCTTGGCAGAAGGAAAACATGTTGGTTTTGTTTTGTCTCTTTCTTCTTCTCCAACACAAATTAAATTTCAATGACCTGGACCGGACAGCTGTCACCGTGGTAACTGGTGCTGTAGAAGACACCCTGTGGTGTTGGATCACATTATGTTGCAAGTTCAAGGACAGAGTTTGAGGGGCTGGTCACCATATACTCTAGTCTAAGTTACTATGGTTAGTATGGTATATGAATGTGTTAGAGAAAGAATAAACAGAGCAGTAGTTTGTTGGGCTACACTATGTGTAGGTTAACCTTGTGCATTTGCTTTACCAATGCTCAAGTTCTTATTGTTGTTGTCGTTTTCCTTGCAGGTTGTTTGTTTGAAGCTGTGTCTCCGTACAACTGGGGTTACCTGCTGCTGCTGTGGGGAGTAGTGGTGGTGGGGGGCACCAGTCATGCCAGGCACCTCACAGGTATCTGTATCTCTATCTGTGTAGCTGGTATAACCTCCCTTCAGCATAACACACCAGCTTCTGTATCTGTATAGCCGGTATAACCGCCCTTCGGCGTAACACACCAGCTTCTGTATCTGAATAGCCGATATAACCGCCCTTCAGCGTAACACACCAGCTTCTGTATCTGTATAGCCGGTATAACCGCCCTTCGGCGTAACACACCAGCTTCTGTATCTGTATAGCCGATATAACCGCCCTTCAGCGTAACACACCAGCTTCTGTATCTGTATAGCCGGTATAACTATAACCGCCCTTCGGCGTAACACACCAGCTTCTGTATCTGTATAGCCGATATAACCGCCCTTCAGCGTAACACACCAGCTTCTGTACCTGCATAGCCGGTATAACTGCCCTTCAGCATAACACACCAGCTTCTGTATCTGTATAGCCGGTTTAACCGCCCTTCAGCATAACACACCAGCTTCTGTATCTGCATAGCCGGTATAACCGCCCTTCAGCATAACACACCAGCTCAGGGTTATAAAACCCTGTATTTCTGTCTGTCAAAGTGGCCTTGCAGTTTTAAGGTCCAGGGTTCAGGGAACATTATTTTGTATACTCTGTGCTTACGCAGCTTGAACTTTCCGTACAAAACTGGTGTGTTATGACTTTTACCTGGAATTGTGTTAAGCAAACCCAGTCTAACATATGCCTTTCCCTCCCCAGTGTCCCCCACCATCCCCCAGACAAGACTAGCCAGGCTGGTCCAGCTCCTCAGCCCCTCCAGCCTGGTGCATGCGGGGACACACGTCGTCATGGCGATGGTGATGTCATACTGTGCGGCGGCCCTGATTGGTCCACAGTTCTCCTCCCTGTCACTGCCGTGTCAAGGGTCAGAAGAGAACGATAGGTCAGTCTATGCGTATACATTTGTGGATAATTTTGAGAAAAAGTTTATTAACTTTAAAAATCTGTTGTTGATTGGCCTAAGATTAAGTTAGAAGTGATTTGGAAGAGCCTGAGATGACTGTTGGCTTACTAGTCTAAAGCCTGTCTTTGGTTGTTATTCTTAGATATACATGTACATGTTGTGATTCTTAGATAATTATACATGTACATATTGTGACAAGTCCTGCTTGGTGTTGTAATGTTGAATCTGCTGTGTGTTGTCTCTTAAACAAGTATGTGCTACTGTTACTCTCAGTACCAGTAGATGTTAAACATTTGTTCCCCATGTAATATTTCCTACAGGGAGACTGTTGGACCCCTCCACTGCCTGAATGAGAAGAGTGTTTTTGTGGTGTTTTCTGGAGCCTTTCTGGTACGGAAATATAGAGTTCATTAAAGTTGTGAACTGGTGCTGCTACCTACATGTACCTACAAGCATGTAGCATGTTGTCTTATATATATAGTCCCATGTAGCAGTTGCAAAAGACCAGTACTGCAGTAGACAACCACTTGTTTGTTGTAAACAAGTACAAGTAGCAGAGATATTAGCCACAAAAAGAAATGAGTTGATCATCTGCAAGCACATGTTTACAATTTGTTTTACATAATACGTAGCTAATGATAGATTGCTAGTCTTCCTACCATTGCAACACAATACATGCACATGGAAATAAGAAAAACCTCTATAATATAATAGTGCAGGATGTTACAACATGTACATGTATATATAGTACTGATATAATGTGCTCAGCTATTTTTATCTCCAACATTGTTCCAGGGCCTATGTTACAGTCTACAGTACTTCCTACATACCAGACACCGGCTGCAGTTCCCTGTCATTCAGGTAAATTGAAAGTGGCTTACACCAAAGCTAGATAGCAACACTAGCTAAGGGTTGAATAGCTGCCTAGGTACATTTACCTTCACCAATTGGCAATATGTTAAAGTCAAGACATAACAGGCCTTCAAGAATGCCATTAGTACCATGTAGTTCTTAACAACAGTTACGGGTACTCACTGCCACCCTGCTTTCGGTGGCGAACAGGGAGTGGAGCTTCTGCCCATTTAGGAGCTGCAGGCCACAACATACAAATGTACACACTCAAAACTAGTACGAGCGACCACATCCAATACCCCTACCCCCACCGTGCTGGAGCCCTCAACCTATTGAGGTTTGCACGTACTGGGAAGAAGAAGAAGACTAGCTGGCCACAGGACTGTAAGGTCAGACCACTAGATGCAGCAGAGCCTGATGAAATTTGTGTGTTTTTCAGCCGTAGTTTGTTAAATCTTCTTCTTCTCCAGCAAGCCAAGTTTTTCCGTGTGCGGACCCTGCTCCCCCAGCTGGTGGTGGACTCTGCGTACCGCGTCCTGCGACTGTTGCCTGGATACTACCTCGGGTACTACCTACTGGGTAAGGACTAGTCTGTATAACGCAAACTCTCGGCAAAAGCGATTTAATCAGGCTAGGTAAGGACTAGCACACAACTTGTTACCTCTGTGTATGAAGGTTTTGTTCTTGGTGTTTCTGTTTGAATGTGTGCTTGCTTGTGTTTCTATAGCTATTTCTACATGTACATGCTACAAAGTATGTTAGGGACACTGAGAGGAAGTTGCACTGCTGACAAAAAATTTGGAGTACAATAATATTTGTAATGTAAGGAAACTGCTATTATGACTTTATGAGGAAGAGGAGTCCCAGTTTGCTCACATATCCACCTTGGAATGTTGTCACATAATTCTAGCTGGCCAGCTACATGTAACTAGCCTGCTATTTAACAATGTTCCACTTTTATGTTTTTGTTTTCTGTTTATTACCCTGTTTAGGTCATGGTGTGAAGACTTGGATGTGTGCACTGCTACAGCTGAACCCCAGGTACAGGAGCAAAGTGTAACAGCAAATATGCCAAAATGGCGTCGGGTGGTGTAGTGGTTAGAACAATAGACTGTGAACCGGTAGACCCGGGTTCGATTCCGAGTCGTACCCGGTACATGTCTGAACATGCGCCCCGACGTTGTGCCCTTGGGAAAGGCACTTTACACGAATTTCCTCACTCCACCCAGGTGTGAATGGGTACCTAACTTCGGTTGGGGAAAGTCGTATTGAGGTCATCTTGTGGCGCCGAATGGCAGCCGCACAGACCCTTGCGACTGTGTGTATCATTTGTATTATTTGAATGTTGTAATTGTTATGATTTGTATTGATTATTGTGTGATACCCTGCATCAATTCAGCCGTAAGGCTGTGACTGCATGGGTACTGTTTGGACAATAAAAACCATTTTAAAATTGGAACTGTGGACCAAATTTTTCACCTTTTGTGCACTGGTGCGTCTAGATACTAGAATAACATAGTGAATTTGATATACTGCAGCATCGACACCTAGCTGAACTGTAAATCAGAATCAGTCATTGCTGCCCTGATCGACATGGTGACAGATGGTCAGTGAAAAATTGAATGTAAAAGCCCACTCGTTGTGGAACAAAGACACTGTCTTCTTATAGTTATACTGTCTTGGTAGGTTAGTAAGATCATTCATCTTCTTCTTCTGTCGGCTGCTTGTCGCAGGCAACCGTGAGTTTTTTCTAGTCCAGTCCAGTAGGATTACATATTATGTCTTTCAAGGATCTCTAAGTTATAGGACCACTGAAATAATTGAACAATGACTAATGTCATCCATAGAATAATGTCCTAAGCCAAGAGTTTCCCCGCCTGCAGCCCAGTAGCCCTCAGTAACCTGCCTGGCCTGTTAGATGTGAGTCTGCTGTGGCAGGCAGCGGTGGGAGGACTTTCCTGTTCTGTAGCCTATTTATTATTATTTATTATCATTCAATGGTTTTAATGAAATGTATTTTCCCCCTGCAGTCCAGTTGCTCTCAGCAGCCTGCCTGGCCTGTTAGATGTAGGTCTCCTGTGGCAGGCGGCTGTCGGCGGGACCTTCCTGTTCTGTCTACTGGACACATCATGGCTGCTGCTGCACATCTTCCACGCTCAGGTAGGGTTTTTACTTATACATAAGGACGCATATTTCAAAGACAAAACAACTCTACTACTGGATTAATAATGGAGATGAGTTCTGGACGTTTTGAGGGACTTCAGCATCAATGAGAGCACAAGTCAACACTAATCACATGTGAAGGAAATGGAAAATAACTGTGACACAAGTCTTTATCATATTCCAGTTCCTTCACACGTGACCTCTCAGTTTATTTAGTGACGCTGAAGAAGTCACAGATGTCACTCTAAACATCCAGAAGTTATCTCCATTATTAATCCAGTAGTAGAATTTGAATTGTCTTTGAATATTGATATTGTTAACCTATGTCTAACCTTCAATGTATAAGGAGGCATTGTTTTTATTCTGTTTGTGTTTCCTTCTTATTTATTCCCATAGACATGTACGGTGACTTTGACCTTATTTTTTTTTAAATGTACATTAATAAAACATATACCAGGCATATTTCACCACAGAATGACCAGAAGATAAGAACAAAGGTCAGAGTTGCTGAGACATTCATAATCTCCAAGCAGATCCTAGGGTGGCAAAAAGACAGTATCAAATTGGCGTATTGGACCATCGGATCCACACCCTTGGGTGGTGTATTCGGCCCTCTCTGGCGAATGGATACTGCCTGGCCAATTTGGTACTGTCTTTTTGCCACCCTAGGATCTGCTTGGAGATTAAGACATTCCTTACTAATGGGGTCAACGAAAGAGGCTACTAATTCATGGGAAGGTGGTAATTTTGGTCTGTCTGTTTATGTTTTGCAGTTTGATATTTTCCATATGTTAGCAACGTTCCTTGTTCGTTGTATTTATTTCAGGTGTTTAAGTTTGAGGTGACGTCCAGCCTGGCAGACCAGACTGACCGATGCTTGTCAGACGCAGTCCAGTGTCAGGACGTGCCTCTGGTCCAGGTAGCCACACTTTCCAGAGTTTTGAATGTGAAATAACTTTCACATTACAATACAATGTTTTTTATCTTGAATTTTGCAGCTTCAACAAAGCAGTATGTTTTAGCATCTGTTTTCTTTGTCACAACCAGTGGAAGATCTGTAGTATCTCAACTATTCTTAGAGTTCATTTGAGCTAAACTAAACGTATACATTTTGTATTCATTATGAAAATAAGTCTTGTAACAAGACGTAGTGTACTGTAGAGCTTACATTTTGTCTACATGTATAAATATCGCTTTTCTACAGACTGAACTTTATAAAGTACAATACATTTCTGTTAACCTTCGGGCAATTTATTAAATTATGCAATGCAAGCAAACAAACAGTGTTATTGCTGTTTCCCATGGCTGCAGCACCTAGGTTTCCTGGACCTGTCCCTGCTGGCCCAGTACTCCCCTCAGCGCAGGAAACACATCTTCAGCCTCAGTCAGCCAGGTCAGAACAGGCTTTATGTGCTTTAATTATGTGCTTTATTAAACTCCATTAGCGACACACAAGACATTGGTACAAAATCAAGTATGTAGCTAATCTTCCTGGAGTTAAAGTAATACCAATACACAACAATAGTACAAATACACTACACCGAAATTACAACATTATTTACATACAACATTTAACTTAACATTTAAAAATAACATATCAACATGTGCCTATGTACACATGTGCTCTAACAGCTCCAGCCTAAACCTACTCTTAGTTGCTGCTTGTACCTCATGTGGCAAAGTATTCCAAACTGTTAAAGATCTATAGATGATTTTATTACTTGTTAATCCCATGGGAAATTCCTTTCACCACAAAACTCCACTTCTTTCTGTCTTGCACTGCTGTTCTGAAATCTTCAAATTTAATGACTGTCACAGGTCCAGTGTTCCCCCTCAAATTGTTTTGTGTTTCTATATTTATTCTGTTCCATTGATGAAAAGACACATATACAAATGTACAAGTATGCTCTTTGATATTTTTTGTTTCAATCTGGGATCTTGTTTGGGCACTTCAAAATTCTGTAAGCAAATGATTTTTTATGGTGGATTTATTGATTGATATTGATATACGTTATTGATTTTGTCTGTACAGGAGGCCACCCGTACATATGGAAGACCGTCAGTACCTCTAGCCTTGCCGTGCTGGACTCTCTCACCAACCGACTAGCAGCCTGCAGGCACAACATCGGGGTCACAGGGCAGAGGTTAAGCCCTGACCCCTCCAGGGTTCAGGGGTCACAGAAAGGTCAGGCCACAGGGAAGATGGACAGGGTTGCCCAGGGGTTGAGAAGGACCCCTGTCCTGGCGTATTTCTTACAACAGGTGAGAACAATGGCTGAAGTTTTCTACTCTGTGTGCAAAGTTACCTAAAAGCGAGTATTGTGGACTGGCAAAAACAGTCCTTCAAGGAACTGTGAGTTAAAGGAGAAGAGAAGAGGGCAAGGCAGAAGAAAAATTGGTTACTAATATGAACAGACAGGGAAAAACTTTGTGGGAAACCCTAACTCTACTACACAACCAAGAAAATAAAGGTAGAGGGTTGCTAGTAGATAGTCCACCATAAAGTGCTCCGAAGACCCAGACTTGGGATAAGGGACCAAGGTATGGCAAGGGACAGCCACTCTGGATCCTTGATGGTCCAAAACTCTTCCAAGTTTTACTTTGTGCTTGGTTGTAATCATAGACCCCTGTGCCCCCTCCAGCTCCCAGAGGCAGCCAGTGCTGAGCTCTTCAAGGATGCCCAACTCGTGGTCTGGGTCCTGGAAGGTAATTTCTACAAATATATTCTAGACAACAGTGTCAACTTTTGAAACTGTTGTCTTCATGCACCTTTTCATTTTTCTATATCAGTATCCGCATAGCAGGTATAGCCGCCCTTTGGCGTAACACACCAGCTCTCTGGACTCTCCAGATTTTTGGATTCTCTATTCTTGTTACTCTACATACTTTATTAATCATAACTAAACGTAATAAGCTTCACATTGTATTAATCCTTGACCTATGGTCCGACCTTTCCCTCTGACATATGGCACTGACCCTCACCCCTGACCCTTAACCTATGGTCCCCTTCACCACTTCCCTCTGACCCCTGACCTGCAGGTCTGTCCCACCTTGTGGCTGCCTCCTACACCGAGGACACGTACGGAGTTGTGCAGAAATCTCTGCCTGATGTTCTCACTGCACTTTTGGGACTACACGAGGTCAGTTTATTTGTAATCTAAATACATGTATGGAGCTTATTTTAAACTGTGTTATAATGATATACAATCAGTGTATTTATTTGCATTTTATGTATTACTAAATGTTGGTGCACTTCATCTGCAAAGTTAGTTGCTACCAATAAAAAGGATGTAATAAATGGTAATCCCCGTAGCCATTATGAGGCCAGAAGGGCAGTGGGCTGTTAGTTCATTGTGTAAGTCACAGTATTGGAAGGTGGAGCCCATTCCTCTCCATCCACTGCCTTTTACCTCCCCAACTAAAGTCAATCATATACCCACTTTACACCTGGGTGTGAGTGAGTAAAGTCATGTAAGGTGCCTTTCCAAAGGACAGAACATCTTGCCAGGAATGCCGTTCTGACACATTTATGAAATTGACAGTTGGAATCTGTTTTTTTTTTCTCGACAGGCACTGGACCGACATTTCAAGATGCCCTTGGCGGGAACACGTCCCTCCCAGCATGCTCGGTTGCCATGCCAACGGGACGTTTCAGGCCAAAACATGCGATTTTCCCTGCTGCCAGCTGTCACCACCGCTCTGTACCACATCGTCAACGTGTTCGGGAAACATGCGGAGTAAGTATTTTCCAGCAACAATATATGAAACAGAGTGCCCAAAGTGTGATGAAAATTACATAACATGTGGCCTTAGGCACTAGCCTGGGTACCATCCCCAGTAGTATATTCGCAAACTCTATAACTGGGTCTGGACTTGCACACATATGTAGCGTCTGGAGTCTAAATATTCGTTCAGATTTTGAACGAGCGCGCTGATTGGTCCTACTCGTCTAAGCCCTTTTTTGGGTGTGTACATATTAGGTAAGGGCTGTTCGGATGTCCGAACGGCGACGTTAGCGTCCGTTCGAACGTCCGAACGCCTTATCATCAACATGTCCGACGGCGAACCGAACGCTAAAGCACACATGATATAGCCGTAGTCAGTCTTTCCGCGATAAATCATCAACATGGCTGACGCACAAGCCGCTCAGCTCACGGAGGTTGATGTTGATGTTGACCTCGCAATCACGTCCGTTTTGGACGATTTAGACGGAATATCGTCGCTCAAAAATGAGCAAAAAGATGCATTGAATAATTTCGTTCATGATGTTTTGGGCGTCCTACCGGTAAAAAAAGAACGCGCCGAGAAAAGGAACACTCGCACGAAGATCTGTGTTTACAAAACAACAAACATCACTTGAATAATGCAGGCGCGACATTGGCCGTCGCCTCTGAGGCTTAGCCAATCAAATGAAGCCCCGCTGCTCGGGCTAGCTCATTACGTGACGTCATGACCAATCGTTTTATATGTGTGCAAGTCCAGACCCAGTTATAGAGTTTGCGAATATACTACTGGGGATGGTACCCAGGCTACTTAGGCACTGCTAACTTGATGTCAGTTTTAACTTGGAAATTCACCTGTGTTGGAAGAAGTTATTCTAATAATACAGGTTTGAATTGTAATTTCCAAAGCGAAAATGGACTAAACTTGGTCGAATTTCTGTCTGTGCAACTCCAATCTTTGTCAAGGAGTGAGCAATCCATTACTTCTGTGACGTCACCTAACGCAGATAGACAATGACTTGGTGAGCATTGGATCACCAAGTTGAAGAACATTTTGTTTCAAAAGAAATGTTTATATGTTCCTGCAAGTGGCAAGTACATATTATAAGACATAAAGTTCCCAAAATATACTTTAAGTATGATCCCAGTTCAAGGTACATGTGGCATTAGGCACTGCTTACTTGATGACTGTTTTTTTTTTTCTTTTTTCCAGGTCCATCCCTTTGTCACCAGAACACAAACAGAAGCTGAGGCTTTTCCTGCCTCAAACTGACGCACCAGGGATCCCCAGGAGCTAGGCTTGGCATGGATTAGTTCATTCCTCAGTCACGGATGAAACATACAGGAAGTTACATCGGAAATATCAGACACTGTCAGAGAATTTATCTTGTTGCTTATTTTGTATCTGTATCTGTATAGCCGGCATAACCGCCTTTCGGCGTAACACACCAGCTTCTGTATCTGTATAGCCGGTATAACCGCCCTTCGGCGTAACACATCAGCTTGTATTACGTAATGTTCCACTTGGAAGTCTAACTTTCATTGATGTAACAATGCTGTTAATCTTTAAATGCTTGTGCACAGTGGTTTAAGTTTTCTGGTGCTCAAGATGCAATGTTTATTATGTGGCATAATCTAGTTAATATTTACACTGTGGCTAGTGGCTACGATCATGTTTATTATTAATAATCTTATTTGCTTCAATGGTTGACGTTAAGTATAGCTAGGGCAATGCAGACTTGTCAACAAAACACATTAAGCAGTCGAAAATAAATGAATTCTGAAACTTAAGGTAATTATTGATAACAACACATTTATTTTGTGGCACATAGAAAAATATAATCTTACACCCAGGTTCAATCTAAAATAGCTCGCTGTAGAATTTCACATTAAACATTCAGTGGCTGTGGACAACTACACAAATTCATTACAACAAAATTATATAATTTTCAATCATCTTCCATATACAAACATTCACCATTCCATGTACTATACAGTTCTGATGATAATCTATACATCTTTGCAGTCAAAACATCAAATAAATACACAAAAACATTGTGTGGTATGTTATACATGTAAATCTTACAACTTGGTTGCATAGAAGGCACTGTGTGTTAAAGAACTGATGTTGGATTTAAAAATCATTACTGTTTGTCTTAAGTACATGTAGTTTTGTACTTCTCTACTAAGAGCCGTATACATGTATGTGTCCTATAGGTATTTGTATCAATGTGATGAAAGATCACCAACCCACATGTGTTTAACAACTATTAGCAGCATATCTTTTTTGTACTTGGTGGGCACTCGGCTTACAAAAGCACGTGGATAAAGCTATAATACATACAAGTGCTACAACATTCTTGGAAAGCAAGACTTTGTGCTTTTCATATCACGTATTCTGCAAAATGCAATGCAAAAACAAAGTACATCAAACTTGTTTGAACTCATCATTCTGTTATTTAAGTCACAAAAACTTAAATTCAATCTTCTGTGAACAAAGTAAACTTCACAACACTTGAATTTGTTTCATAGCAGTAGAATTTGACAAGTGGAAAATAAAAGATTGGTCATTCTTCTTGAAAAAGTAAACTAATAAAAATAAACACGATGGGACCATTTAGCTTGAACATTTTTTCTTGGTGCAAAGATTCTGAACTGAAGACAATCTTTTCTATTCAACTCAACAACTTAAGCAACAGTTGAGAAGTAAAGTAATCTCTGCACCAGAAAGTTGGACGGTTTTTGTTGGATTTTTGGTCAACGTTGGATCAGAATTTTGCCTGTTGCAGAAGATATCTTTTCCCACATAACATTTGGAAACTACAGACAGGATGTTAACCTTATATAGGCGAATACGACCTTATGTGAGAAGTTTTGCTGAAGTGCTATGCACAACATATGTCAGGGTTTTGGGCAGGTGCAGTACGTTCTGCCCAGCTGCTGATGGAGAGTTCTAATCAGAGTTGAGAATGAGACAGACGCCCTGCAGTACCCAGTGAGAGGAGTGTTCGGTTGTCGCCAAGTCTGCCTCAAACACGAGACCGACTCCCATGGCGTTCCTGCGCTGGGAAGTCGTGTAGACGGGCGTCCGGAACGTGTTCTGGAGCTTCAGACGATGCGCCTCGATGGGAATAACCTGATGAAAAGGAAATAAAAAAAAATAAACACGATGAAGTTTGGTCACTGTGTACCAAGTACAAGTACATGTAAAATTAATACTAATACACATGTAGGTACAGATCTAGACTTGAACATCTGGAGCACCAGTACCTGAACAAAAAAACTAGTGTAGTGGACATCAATTTTTACACTATCGTCAGAAGAAAGAATCTGCCTGCTTTGATTCTTTAGAACTTGAAAACCAGGAAAACTTGAATGTAAAGAATCATCATTTTATAGACTAAAAGATACAAACCCCCATAAAAGAAAACAATTACCACTGACTTCTGAAGAATCTGACAATTACCACAGTGACTGACGTCTGACTTCAATACAGAACTTTGAAATACAGAACTCTCCCATACCTTGAGAATAGGCAGTGGCTGCAGCAGCACCTTGGGCGGCTGTCGGATCAGACAACTGTTCTCCATGTCCCAGGCAGCTCCCTCCAGGTACAGCCCGGACACAAAGCACCCTGGGTATAGAACAACAAGTGAAAGGGTCAAGCTCATGTACAGGTGCTCTGTGGTGTTGCTATGATTACCCTAGGTTAACATTTGGTATTAACTGTGATAAAACATCGAATGAAAAATCTGGGTTTCGTGTAGGCACAGTACGTTTTGTCAACGCACTGTAATGATTAGGCCAACAGAGCATTCTTCACCTTGCTCATGGGAAATTCAAACTCTATTACAATGGATAAATTACGGATGTTTTGAGTGACATCCATCACTCTTCTTCAGCGTCACTAATGAACTAACAGAAATCAATAATTTAAAAGCATATATGAACAACTGGAAAAAAACAGTTGAACATGACAAAGACTTATACAATGTAGTCATTAATATGTAAAAGAGGTAGTTCATGGTAGACAACACCATAGAACTGTTACTGTCCCATAGGTTGTGGCATTTTAAACAAAATGTGAATTTAAAAAGAAAAAAGATTGCTTCCTCACCTTGGTGAGCGGTCTCTGTGACATCGTTGGCAGTTGGGAACTTGGTGACGTTGGTGTAGAGCGTAGAGCGGTCCAGCGGCCAGCCGTTCTTACGACAGGTGGCCTGTACAAGCGCCGTGAGGTACGACTCGGGGATGTGGAGACCAGACAGCCACATCACGGCTGGCTCAGCCTCGTTTATCTGCAGCAGAAATCATGTCAGAACAGTGAGAATAATATAAATTATCCTGTTAATTTTTACTTTAACACATTCACATACATGTACTACGAATATATGGTGACAGGAGTAGAGCAGTCCATGAAATTGCAACATTATGTAACCCAACACCATGTACCAGTATGGTGACAGACGTCAACAAATTATGTCATTGGCCAGGTCAGAGGTTAGTGTTTGGAACAGAAGAGGAGGAAGAAACTGAGTAAAAACAATGTTTTCCTTCAGTAAGGCCACACCGATTTAATTTTATGGATGACATCCGCGCGCGCATTGATTTTCGCCCGATCTCAAAAAAAAAACATCACGTCTTCCGAGGCTCTGGACTGGCTTCAAGCCTGGGTAGTCCATGGTGGTGATAACTCTGGTGGACGGCAGCCAGGCTACCGAAGCTCCAAGACTCAAGAACTCAGTACATACGTACAGTGTCGATTCATAAATTCCGCAAAAATCCAGCATGTGTCGGCCTGTCGTATACGTCGCTATGTAATGCGCCAAATTCACAACACCAGCTTTGTATTCCTGTGGTTTAGTAGCATTTTTATTTTTGGCCGGATTTTTCTTTTTTTCGCCCGCACGCACTAGTTTGGGGGTCTTCAGAGGATGTCATCCATAAAATTAAATCGGTGTGGCCTAAACATAACAAAATGACGTACCCATGTGGAGTACTGCTCGAACCTGCCCTGGAAGTGCATCATCCAGTTGCCGAGAGACTTGAGCGTGTCGGGGGCGAGCTTGCGCCACACGGCGGGGATCTGTCCGTTAAACAGGGACCGGGAAACCTCGTCCAGCACGTTGGACATTCCCACCTCACCCTTCAGCGCCTGGGGGGGGGGGGGGGAGAGAGAATCAGAAACAGTGAGAGATGGTAGATGATTGTTATTTGTATAAGTTTGTACAGACGAAGACGTCACTAGACGTATAAGTTATCAACTATCACTCAAACAAATTTATGTATTACAATGTATTGTGTTGTCATAGTGTCTGGGAGGGTTGTAAAGGTGTTACACCTGTTTTGCCCTGTATAATTGCCTTCCACTTCAGCATCTGTATCTTTATCCGTATCGCCAGTATAACCGCCCTTCAGTACAAATAAACTTTACCCCCCTCTGGGGGAACATAAAGAAACTGCATGAGCAGAACAAAAAGATCTAAAAAAAAAACTGGCAGTTCTGCTGCAGTACCAAGAAAAGCAATGGGGTACCCAAAATCAAAACCCACCCTCTATAGACAGCTCAGCTGTTTAGCATTGGATGGCAAGCTCTCAGCTATACAGATTCTTTTCTTTTGCTTTTACTTCCCACTCTCTCTGACTCAGTTGTTTAGCATTAAATATAGGATGACAAGCTCACAGCTGCAACATTGTTGCTAAGTTGTTTCAGTAAAAATAAAAATAAATTATTTATAAAACGCACCCTCTGCAGCTCAGCGAGAGTCTTCCCCATGACGGAGATGAGTTTGTTGAAGCGCTCGAGCTCCTGCAGCAGCACCACGGTGGTCGGCGAGATGTCCACTCCGTACTTCTTCTTGATCTTGTCCAGCTCGAAGATGGCGGGAAGCTTCTTCTGGATGTCTCCCGCGATGTTGCTGATGTAGTCGTCACGGCTGATGCCAGTGCTCGAACCACCTGGAGAGATGGGCGACAACAAGACGATCAAATTTTGTCTTTAAAGTACATGTACTACAATTACCCTTCTTGTATTTATGCTGCGAATGTACAATTATGGCATATTAGATGCAAGCTATTTCAATAGCTTTCAGTTGGGACAAAAGAATGCATTTTTCTGGGTGTGCCACCAAGAAAGGCTACAATCCACAAAATATTCTCGAAATAGAAAATGATCATACTAAACTAGCTCCGACGGATACAAAAAAAGTTTTCATTTTCTACAAGATATCATTGCAGGGGAGCTTATTTTGCAAGAAGAAATTTTCATACATAACGTTATGTGTAACCAATTAGCATTAAATAGTACAGTTCCACGTTTTCATGATTCCTACCTGTTTGTCGCTACAGGCACCTAATTTGCATATATGGGACATTTCCATGACTCCTACATACCTGTCTGTGGCTGCAGGTCCACCATGTTGGTCCACATGTCCTTGGCGGCCTGTGTGTAGTAGCCGATCTCTGCGTTGGTGTGCAGGCCGAACACCTCGGGCGTGTTGGCCAACGGCAGGCTCTCAATCTCCTCTACGTAGTTGTCCCTTGGTCCCAGCTCTGGGATCTTGTAGTCAACCTGTTGTACAAAACAAGTGTAAATTATAGTTAGTATAATCATTTAAGATATTATACCTAAACTCCATTAACATGTATCTTCCAGGTTACATATCTGCCACTCTGAAAGACAGTGCGTTTGAAAGATCACTAGACAAGTGCAGTATCGCATACTTTTTCCTCCAGGCACAGTTCTGGATACGAGTGGACTGTCCAGAACCGTGCCTGAACATGGTTCTGGATAAAGCATGGTTCTGGATACAACAGGAACAAGCTACAGCGTCTTCCATCCATACTACATAACATCCGCCCATTTCAGCACCAAGGACAGCACTCGGTAGTTGCATGAGTGAAAAGTTCTTAAGAACTTCATATTACTTCCTAATATACATATATATATACTGCTTTTCACACTTCGACCTTTTTGAAAAGTGGCTGTGTAGGCCAAACAAGCATTCGAAGCAAAATAAAGTCATTGGTTTGACTTGACTTGATATTATCCCAACTTATCCAGAGCTACAGACGCACGGTTCTGGATATGATACATGTAAGACCCACCTCATCATTGAAGTAGAAGTGGAAAGGCTGGAAAGTGTCAAAGATGAAATCTCCGAGGTACTCGTCCATGTAGGTGGACAGGATGCGACGGTCAAAGTTGTCAATGGCCCTCCCACCGTACATCACCTGTGGTTGGTAGAGATAATAATCACTTTAACCCCTGTGACAGTAATTATGATTTAATCTAAAGCCAAACTTGCCAAGAAAGGCATCAGGGGACTGTGGTAAAGTGGTCTTCTTGGACATGTGCCTGTGTCTGCAGAGCAGTATTACTACAAAAATGTACATGACATGTCTGCTTTTATCCAATTCAATTTGATAGGTCCATAAAATCTTCAATATCAAAAAAGGTAGATTATTTTCCAGCTGAATTGATATATATTTTATACAATTTCAAATGCTAATTTATGCTTCATCTACACTAGCTTACATAATTGCTAACAATTTTATGAGCTGTGTGTGTGATATTTTCACTACTGACCTCTCCAATCAGGTACTTGAGACTGGCCCAGGGCACCTTCTGGTCTCCCTGCTCGCACGCCTTCCGCAGGTAGGTGTGGAGGATGGACATACACACCTGTAGGAACAAGGTGAAACACAACTCATTGACAACTGTCTTGTATCTGTATTAGATTCTGTATAGCTGGTATAACAGCTTTGCAGGCATGCAGTGCAGTGGCAGCTTGCTATCTTACACCAGATTTTCTTTGTTACAAGTTGACCACAGCAAAGTGTTCCAATCCTAAAAACTGTAGAGTTGTAAGTTCTGCATTCCAAAACAATATTGTGACAAGGTTTGACTTAATGCATTTTTAAGTAAAAAGTTACTACATCTATTTTGCCTGGCACTTGGCCATTTGCAGTATTCATAGATAGAGACTTCCTATCAGGATTAAGAGAACACACCTGGAAGTCGGACTCGTTAAAGTCGTATGGACTGTTACAGAATTTTATCTATAAATTACCTTAAAATACTACATTTGGACTACCAGTTACAACAACTTGTAACATGAAAGCTTACCATGATAAGAATTGCAAAAAAATGATTTCACCCACCTGGAAGTCTGACTCGTTGAAGTCATAGGGAATGTTCCAGCCGATCTTGCCGTACTTCCTTCGCTCCTGAACCACGGCGTGGAAGAAGGCTAGCACGTACACCAGGGCGGGGAAGTACTCGTGGGGACAGTCGCCCAGCGCGGTCGCCGTGATCTTGTGGTACGTGTTCCTCAGGTTCAGTTTCAGGCCGTTCGGAGGTTCTGTCACAACCTAGGGAAGAGTAGATCAGTTCAGGATGGTTAATGTGTGTCATTGAGGTTTAGGACACAGGACTTTTCTTTTCCACAACCAAGACTGTCTCACCTAAATGCTTACGTTTTGGTGTCTGTCAGACACCTTCCTCAGAGCTTGACCGGGTTCTGCTTCTTGCCGCTATATGTAGCCGTTGTAGAAGCAGAAGCTTGGAGGAAGTTGTCTAATAGACACCAAAACGTATAAAAAATAGATGAGACAATCCTGAGGTTGGTTCAGTCATTGAGGTTAGCGTCCAATTTTTCACTGTGTCCTGTAAAATTTGATCCTTGTGTACCCTTTGAGGTGGAATAAAGTTTAGCTGATCGTACTATGAACTTTTAAGCTGAAGTGACAGTAGTTAACACACCTTTAGTGATCGCTGTAGGATGCCGATGGGGAACTCGGGTGTGGGTTCGGTGGTGAGCCAGAGCCGGAAGTCGGGATGGGGCTTGGTGATCCGCTCCAGAGCCTTCTCCAGGTCCTTCAGCCAGCGAACCAACAGATGGCAGTTCTGCAGCATCAGCCAATGGCCACGAGCAATCGACGTCTCAAGCAGTTGCAGGGCCACCTGGAGGAAGGTGAACAGTTACTCCCATGGCCACAAAAGTATTAGTATTAAATACACAGCAAATCAAGCAACTCCAGGACTCACAATACTCAAATTAAACATGCTTAATCTTTTCAATCAATACACTCGAATAAGGCAGAGTTACAAAGCTAACATTTCCTGCTATCCAGGGATCCTCAGCAGTGAAACATCTTCCTTTTTCCAGTGTATCCATTAAACTAAGATTTATGTTCAAGGATGAGTAACCATAACCGTAAAACTTACAATATATTTGTAAGCTTTTTAGCTTTTTAATCTGTACATAATGACATTTGATAATTTTTGTACATAATCAATTCTCTGTATAACTTTTACCGAATTGCATATTTCATGTCTACTGATTTTTGATGTCTTATGTCTAATGTTTATTATTTGACTTGGTTCCGTATTGTTTTGTATTATCATTTCAGGTTTGGGAGGACAACTTGTAAAGGCGTTGATACACCTGTTTTGTCCTCCCTTCCACTTGTTTTTGCATGTGGTAAATTCAAATAAAGAAATAAAGAAATTTGACAGAGATCTTTCAACAAAAAAGAGAATTGGGAGTTTTCATTTTTTTATCAGAACGCTGAACAAATTGGGAGTTTACATTGGCTGCAATTCATTTTAAAACTTTATCAACCTTAAGCTTTTTGGCTCCATTCGGGCTTTGGGTTAAGGCACCCTCATTAAAAAAAAAGCATTATACCTGTTCCAAAAAAAAAAGCCTTTGAACCGAACCTTTTCCTGTCCCTGTCCCATGGCGAGGTACTTGAGCCGGTTCCCGCCGAACCCGGATCTCTCGGCCAGCTTGAACAAGTCTCCGGCCGGGTCGGACCCGGGACTGAGGATGAACACGATCGGCGACAGCGGCGTGCTCTGCTCGAAGATGGCCTCGAAGCTGACGACGGGGGGCGTTACGTACTTCTCGCCCATCTTCTCCGTGACGAAGTCGGTGACGGCGCGGTAGACGCGATCAACGCGGAAGCACCGCAGGAGCATGAGACGTTGGAAGTCGGTGAGGCTGTCCTTGTATTTCATTGGATACGGGGATGCCTCCGGGGCGTCCAGATCGTACCACTGCAATGCAGGGAGGGGGGGATGTTAAAGAAGTAGGAAGCATGTACAAGAAAATTAAAAATGGGGCAAATCTACACGATTGCATTAAATATGAGGAAACTACCCAGGAGTGTGCCTAATCTTAACCCAGACATAGGCAAGGTTCTGGAGATGATAGTTGCCAAGCAATAATCATTACTAATGCCAAAAAGCAATACTCAAACAACTAGATATGATTTTGGAAAATGGGGCAAATCTACATGCACTGAATATGAGGAAACCATAATTTGCTTGAGTAATGAGTAACTGCTTTTTGGCATATCTTATTACCTGGATGTCTAACCTTCATTGACGTATCATTACTAATACCTATAGTTCTTAAACATGGTTCTAAATAGCCTGGGATAATGGACCTATCACATTATTACGTCACAGTTTGTTTACCTGTTCTAATGTGATAGGTCCATTCTACTATGTTCTTGAATGCCTGGTGACTATCTGTTTTAACCCTAACCAATTCAGGTACAGAGCTAGATAGGCACGGCTCCAGACGATAGTTGCCAAGCAAACTTGCCTCTTTACAGATTTTTAGGCTACCTCTTTCTACATATTTAACTCTTTCCAGACTACCAACGAAGAACTATGCCTGATCCTAACCCTAATGCATTCAGGCACATGTAGTTGCCAAGCAAACTTGCCTCTTAACAGATTTTTGGAGGCTACCTCTTTCCAGATATCTACCTCTTTCCAGACTAGCTACCAATGAAGAACCATGCCTGATCCTAGCCCTAATCGCATGCGACCCTAATGCGATCCTTGTCCTAGACAATATAGTCGCCAAGCAAACTTGCCTCTTTCCATGTCCTCTCGTTGCGCTCTATGTCCTCTGCCATGGACCCGAAGGCCTCGGGGAAGGACTCGGTGAGCCTGATGATGTCCTCCCAGCCCTGCTCCGGGATCCAGTCGAACGGCCGGCGCCGCTTGCTCTTCTCCAGCGACAGGTTCCCCTTGATGAAGAAGTCCAGCTCCTCCTGCGGACACTTGTCCTCGTTCTGTTGCAGCTTGATGCAGATTTGGAAGGAGAAGAGGAGCTTGTGCTTCTCAAACAGACCTGGGAGGATAAACAATGAATCAAATGTAACAGTGTCACTTATTCTATATACTATGTAACTAAGTCTACTTGTTCTGCTGCAGCTTGATGCAGATTTGGAAGGAGAAGAGGAGCTTGTGCTTCTCAAACAGACCTGGGAGGATAAACAATGAATAATAAAAAAACAGAGACTTGCATCAGAACTGAGACGTTTTAAACGCAAAACTAAGAATAAGTATAGGATGTAGAATGATGTACTTCATGGTCTTTTAAGACCGACGAATGCCTACCTACCTAATAAAAAAATTATTATTAATCATACAGTGTCACTTATATACTATATAACTAAGTCTACTTGACAATGTTCTGTTGCAGCTTGATGCAGATTTGGAAGGAGAAGAGGAGCTTGTGCTTCTCAAACAGACCTGAAAGGATAAACAAGTTGAATTATCAATCATGCAGTGCCACTTAAAAGTTATATAATATATTATATGTGGGCATGGTGGCCTTGAAAAGGTGCACTTAGGTGCACCTGTTCCTCCATGCCCTCCATGTACATGTATATTATGTATGTGGTCAATTGTAATAAATAAATAAATAAATTAACTCTACTTGTGAAAATTGACCCTGGTAATTTTTATCAATTTGCTGCAAACTTTTTGGAGTTCTTTTAAGTAAAACTGTCTCTCTTTATTACACACACTATTTTCTGGCCAAACTGTGACTGTTTTGTTGTCTGAGTATCATAATTTTTCCTTCCAACTGTGTCTAACCAAACACACAAACTAAAACCATCGCAAACCAAAACAAAACTTCTGTACCAGACATGCCAAAAGTGACATTTCAAAATTATACAATGTACAGTACAGCATGTTTCCCCTCACCTGTGCAGCCGTAGTTGTACACATTATGCGTCAGCGTATCCATGATGTTCTTCAGCCTCTCGACCAAAACAAAACTTCGGATCCATGATACCAGAATTTAGAATACAAAATTTGTAACTTTCCCCTCACCAGTGCAGCCGTAGTTGTACACATTATGCGTGAGCGTGTCCATGATGTTCTTCAGTCTCTTCACCAGGATGGAGTCGGGCAGGCTCTTCCTCAGCGAGAAGTCAAACACCTCCAGGTACGATGCCAGCGAGTACTGGTACATGGTGTTGATGATGGCCATCTCAGACAGGACAAAGTACAGGATGGCACCGCGCCGGGCGGCAGGACGGTAGCCGTCACGGAGCTTGTTGATGTCGATGGAGGTTTTCTCTGCAAGCTTCAGCTTCTCTGTCACCTGTGGTAACATGGGAAAGTTGGGTTAGATATCATTGTACATTAAATTTTATGCTCAGTGTTATAAGTGTCTGGTATATTACACTTAGAGCTAAATGTATCATGAATGTCTAGTATGTACAGGTTTAACTTCTTCTCACATAAGACAGTTAAAATAGGCTAAGCATAACCTTAAAAGGTGGAGAGAAGGATGTTTGATTCTCCTTCACTTTTTGAATGCTGCTTATGTTTTGATGTCTGTGTTGACGAGAAACAGTACTCCCTCAGAAGCTCTGAGGAAGGTGTGACTGACAGACATCGAAACTTAAGCAGGTGAAAAACTCTAATAGTTGTGTAAGAAGAAAATCCCTGAGTGTATCTTTTGGACATGCTTATGAGAAGACGGCCAGTGTAGCTGCCTTAGCCACTACTCCTCTAACATTACAAGACCAATAAACAAGATTTAGTGTGGCCCCACAGAAATGTACAGACCACAGAAGCCTTTCTCTTGGTGGATTCATTTTGCTGAATGTTTTATGATCTAAATTGTCTTGGGATAACCAGGAAATTGTGTACTGACCTCTGAAGCCTTGCTCTTGGTCTCCTCCAGAGTCTGAACCAGCTCCACATTGTCCAGCATGTTTCCTGTGGAGGTGGCCAGCTCTCGCAGCAGGGAGTCCTCCAGGTCCTTCAACAGACGCTTGTTGTCACTGCACACAAGGAGAGAGGAATAGCAACTCATCAGGAATTAGCTTTCATAACAGCTAAAGCTGCAGCTGACAGATGTGACAAAAAGGTCTGTATGACAACATAATACTGAATTCAGTATCTGTATCTATACAACTACCCTTCTGTGTAACACACATTTGTGGGTACGTAAGTGACAGCAGCTGAATACATTACACTGTAACAGAACAACTTGTATGCCTTCAGAAGAAGACAGATGACAGCATATACTTCTACATAGAGGGTAGATTTTCACCTTGTTTCCTGGATGAGCCTTTCTCTCTGTTCCTCCAGCTCCTTTCTCTCAAACCCGACAATCACACTCAGCAGCTGGTCCTCCAGACCCTGAAGACAATAAACCATGAAAATGACAATTAAACATCTTAAAGTTTCTAATCAACCAACAGTTACTGCATCACAGATACAGAAAAAGTATACTAAGCAAACTACTAAATATAGTCTAATTTGGCAGAAGGCTGCTAGATCAGTCTGTGGCTTAAATGAGGAAAAAAGTTGGAATAGCATCTTTACCAAGTGGAACAAACAAATTGATATGATTTTTTAAAACTTTAACCTGTGACCTTTGACCAGTTTGTGTGATCTGTGACCTATGACCAGATTGTGTTACCTATGACCTGTACTGACCTTGAGTGTGACAGTGTAGTTGATGACCATGGCCTTGCCGAAGACAGCAGGGCTGTACTTGGGGTTGGACAGTTTGGTGTTGAGGTAGAGCCTGAAGCTGGGGTCGTAGTCCACCTCCTTGTCTCCCAGCACAATGAACTGCCTGCCCTGGGCACCTGTGTGTGGAACCACAGGAGTTTAGAACCTGAAGAAACTGTTCATGCACTCAAGATTCATGAGGTGACTTCATTAAATTCATCGACAACTTTTTTCTCATTGTTTTATGCTTAATGATGTGTCTTGCCTACAGCTGTCAGTGTACAGTAACTGATTTGTAGCTGTCTAATAAGACAGGCAGATTCTTCTGTACCTATAGTTGTACCTTCAATATAGTTCTATAAAAACCTGCAAATGATTCCAAATCTAGGCGAAAATAATTGTTTGGAGGAGTTTGACCAGACAGGCAGATTCCCCCACTGACTGCCGTACCTTTGATGTTTTCTCAACACATGCAAATGACTCTAAACTATATAACCTTACAACATTTTGAGCCTTTAAATTTGATAAAACAGCATAAACAAAGTGAGTGTTTGAAGCTGTTTGACAAGACAGGCAGATTCTTCAACGGTTGTACCTTCTATATAGTTCTACAAAAGCCTGCAAATGATCCCAAATCTTGGTGAAAATAACTGTTTGAAGCTGTTTGACCAGCCAGGCAGATTCCACCACTGACTGCCGTACCTTTGATGTTTTTCTCCAGCACGTTGTCGATGACAGGATCGATGTACTCGTCCACGTCCTTGAACAGGAAGGGGAAGCCGTACTTGATGGCCAGCTCCAGCTGCTTCAGGAAGTCTGGGTCGTTGAAGGAAGATACCTGGAACAAGCAGGGAAGACAAACAGGTACCATTAATTAGCAAAGAAACTAAAAAAGTGGGTCATGTATGCTTTAGACAGTGACTCCATCAGCCCTTGTGTTTTTCTGAAAATGTTTTCCTGAAACACAGTTTCTTGAGGTTGATCTAGTAACATCTTGAGGTTCTTGAGGTTGAGCTAGTGGATACTAGCTGAAACGTCTGACATTTTCAAAATCATATCCAGTTGCTTGAGTAACTGCTTTTTGGCGTATCGTATTATCTGGATGTCTAACCTTCATCGACGTACCTAGTAACAGATTGTTTCCAAAATTAGCCTGGAACCCAGTGTCTAAGGATAACAAGTAAAATCCAGTAGTCTTTCCTACAACAGCCTCTAACCTGGTACATTAAGTTTACATCTAGGTTAAGCTCTGCTGGGCTAAGTAAAAGAGTCTACAACAGTATGGAACCTAGTACCTTGAGGTAAAATAAAAGATCATTTTCCCACAGTAGCCTGGAACCCAGTGCCTTACAGGTTACGCTAGTAATGGGCTGGAATGCATCACATTCCGGCTAATGAAGTACCTTGAGGTTGAGCTAGTAAAAGTCTAAAAAAGTCTAGAACCCAGTGCCCTGAGGTTAAGCTAAGAGAAAGTTTCCTACAGCGGCCTAGCACCCAGTACCTTGAGGTTGTTTTTCTCCTCCTTCTTCTTGATCCAGCTGAGTGCCTGTTGCTGCGGGTCGATACAGAGCGGGAATCGGGAGGCATTGGTCGTGAGGATACCGTTCTGGATGGAGAGTTCGTCTGGGGGCAGGCCCTCCGACGTCCACCTGGGGAAAAGTAATATTTTGATTTTAGTGGTATTCAAAATTTATTAGCTTCTTTGAGAGACTTTCATTTCATTTTCATTTTTATTATCCAGGGGTAGCATATCGCCAATGGCGGTTTTCAACACTCCCTGCACAAAACAATACTGTTATAATAACAGAAAAAGTAACTTAGGTGCAACCATAATTGTCGTGATGATAAAAGAAACAGGTAAGTAATAACGTACAGAAACAGATTGAATATGGCTTTCCTTAAAACAACTGCATGGCAACTCATTTGGAGCTGTTCAGAAGAGCAAGTAGATTCTTGAGGAGTTACATTTGAGCCATTTACTTATTTAGGTTTGCAGTAGTAAAATTAAACCATTATTTGGAGCTGTTTGAAAAGACAGGCAGATTTTGTTTCTTTGATATTTTTCTTTTTCTCCAGCACCCAAAATGATTCAAAACAAACTTCTGAGGTGCAAACGACTCTTACTTGCTGACTTCCACATCGTTGGTGAGCAGTACGTCCAGCTTGAAGGGCTGAGACAGCGGGATGGACTTGTTCACCACGTCCGTCTCCCACTCCTTAAACAGCAGGTCCTGTCGGAAGTCCCAGCTGAAGGCGCCCAGGTAGCTCAGGAAGGCCGAGGCAAGGAGGCAGTCGCCAAGGAGACGCACTCGCTGCTCCTTAAGGTCCTCGAGGTCACGCCTCCATCTGTGGAGAGGGGGGATCAGATTACAATCTGTCAATCAATCAATTACATTTGTAGTCAAATTTATGTGATGACATCAGATACAAATGTATGCAAAGTTGTTTGGAACTGATTATTGATTGCTGGCTAGTAACACTCGTCCAAAAATCTGTAAACACAGTTTATATTTTCAACTCTTGATCTCTTTGGAAGATGGGAAATGAAGTATCAGGATGTCATCATGTACGTTCGAGGTTTACATCTGATTCTGTTAGCCTTCAGTGTAGTGTAGGAATGAGCTTCAATGGGCTTTCAGGCTCAAACTGAAGATCAGTAAAAGATATTCCTTTCAGAAACTCACACACTCACACACACAGGCACACACATACGCAGACAGACAAACATACACCAAAAGCAATACTTCACTCCTTTGGATTGAGGTTACAACAAATGAAATAATTTCAAATATTGGAAATGATTAAAGTTGTTTCCCACCTGACGTTTTCGGATCCCAGGCCAGAGATGAGCTTGTCTGCGGCGATGAGTCGACGTTCCATGATCTCAGCCTCCTCCTGCAGTTCCCGTTTCTCCCGCATGGCGTCCTCGTACTTCTGACTGAGCTTGGCCAGCGTGTCCTCCAGGCCCTGCACCTCCTTCTGGATCTTCTCCAGCTCACGCTTCGACTGGTGGTAGTTCCTCTCCAGACGGGCCACCTTGGGGGAGGAACGGATGATTTCAGTTTGGTAAATGTTTATCACACACTCACTCACTATCTGGTTTATCGTCTGTAGTTCCCTGTCTTCCGAGGGTTAGACATGCTTGCAAACTTATGATGAGGCTTGATGGCAGCCCGCCATCTGCCTCTGTCCTCACTGTGGGTTGATGTTATGTTGATGTCATAAGTTTGACTTTAAAGTAATCATTCTTAATTTATGGCTTGTATTCTGTTTTGACATTCTCCTTGCTTTTTGGCATCTAAGTTTTCTTTCCCAGGTTTCATTTTCCTCACCATGTCACCGTTTCCCAAAGACAGAGTACAAACGTAAAGTAACCTACTATTTTTGCAACACTTTAAGACTGCAATACTCCACAAACTATTTTTGCTACAATTAGTGGGACCTTAACACAACAAGCCTGCATGGCCTTACCTTTTCTCTCTTAGGTTTGATCTCCCTGGCCACGTCGCAGTATCCCATGACAGCTTCCACGAACTTCAGCATCCCGGCGCCGGCCCGACTGATGGCTGACATCTCCTCTACTGACACCGCCATGCTCTTCACAAAACCTGCAGGAACACAGCAAATATCATCAGTACTAAGAATGATTATCTGTATCTGTATCATTCTGTATCTGTATGTTATCCGGTATAACCACCCTTCGGCATAACACACCAGCTTCTGTATCTGTATAGCCGGTATAACCGCCCTTCGGCGTAACACCCCAGCTTCTGTATCTGTATGTTATCCGGTATAACCACCCTTCGGCATAACACACCAGCTTCGCAGGCATGTGGCAAAGTGGCAGCTGTTATTACTACATCGAATGACTTATCAATATCATACAAAACATATTCAAGTGATGTCTCTTTCACAGAGATATTTCTCATGGTCATAGGAAAAAAGTTGCATCAAATTGTCCACAAGAAAGTTTTTTTGGTGAAATGCAAGGAGCACAACAAGGTGGCCTTGTGACTTGGGTTGTTGACTAAGAATCTAAAGTTTCGGGGTTTGAATCTCTAGAGCTAACAGACATGGTAAAGTAAGCCAAGTCTCGAAGCTTAGAGGTTTTTTTGTCTGACCGTTTACTCAAAAGGTTCTGAATTTGATTGCCAAGCAGACACTGTGAATTAAGTCAAGCTTTGTGCCTTTGAAGACGGTTTTCATCTGTCCCTGTTTAGTCTAAAGGTTCTGGGTTCAAATCCCAATCTCCGTACCTTTGACAGTTTTCGTCTGTCCCTGTGTGATGGCATCCACGTCCATCTCCATGAGTGACTTGAGGAAGTTCGGCTCCGACATCATGCCCTTGGCAGACTTCCAGGACACCTCCTTGATCCCCCTCATCACCACGATGCACTCACACACCGTCTGCACAGGCTTGGGCGGCTTCGCAAAGGACCTGCCGTGGGGAATGTTTAAAAGAGTTGTTAGTCAATCATGAAAACAGGTTTTGTACATGATCATGAAAACTGGCTTTGCAAAGGACCTGGGTAACATTCAATTCAATAGAGCTGTTAGTCAAAAAGACAGTACAGTATTTGTTAAACGTAACATTCTTGCACCTGTACAGGCTTGGTCAGCTTTGAAAAGGACCTGGGTAATATTTAAGGGAACATTAAGTCAAGAAAATGCTTTGTAAAGGACCTGACCAGTGGGCAATGTTTGGGAGAGTGGTGTCATAAAACTGAATAGTCTAGAAATGCCACAAAAGTTGTGAAAAAGAATGTACTAACAACGATTTTCCTGTTTTTTTCATAATTCCATGAACACATTTGTCCATCCATTATGAATATTCAAAAGTGGCAGACTTAAAGGTACAGAATGTCAGAATTCTAAGAAAAAGAAAATTGTCTGGACCTGATTTCTGTGACATCAGACTTGTCCAGGTCCTGTAGGGCCAGTCGTGCAGCCTCCAGGGCAGGCATGGCTTCAGCCAGCGAGTCCTCTGCATCTTTCTGTACAGCAGATACACAGGGAAATGTAGAATAAATGTACAGTCACACACTTTATGTACAGGAGATATAGAGAATCCCCCCTTACGAGGTGACATACCCTTTCGTTAGCTCAATACAAGACGGGGTTCGCCACGCCTCCGTCCGGGTGATGATGTAATCACAATGTGGCTGATACGGAACAGAGGTTTGCCAGGCCTCCACCAAGGTGATTCCAAGTGAATCACCAAGTTGAACTCAATACTGTTAACATTTGTACCACTGTACACCGGGGCATGCCCCTACTCTTTTTCAAAAGGTGTAATGGGTTCTTTAACGTGCGATTAGCACCCACCTTCTCCACAGCGATGACTTTGTTCTGTTCATCCAGCTGCACCGCCGTTGCCTCTGCAAACTTCTTCTTCTCCGTGGCCTCGGCAGTGCCTGATGAAATCTCCTCCAGCAGGGCCTCGCAGGCAGCGGTTTTCTCCGTCACGGCCACCTTCTGCACAGCCAGCTTCTCGTTCAGCTCGTTCAGTTGGACGCTGGCCTCTGCGAGTTTGGCCATGCCTCCCTCCAGACGTTTGCACTGGGGGTAGAAAACAGACAAATGTGACCAATTTTGCAGGCTTCTAGTTGTGATCATGTGCAGCTCGATCTTAATTATACATGCTGTGAAAACACAATTTTCATAATTATAGAAATGAACCATTTTTATTAATCCTATTGATTGAAGTTTGATGTGGTAAATTTTGTCTCTGAATTTTTAAGGTTATCCTTGACCTGAACATTGATAATACTGACTTTGTAATGGAACTTCTGACCCTTGCCGGCTTTGACCCATGACTTTTGGCCCTTGCCCTCTGCCCTAGGGGTATAAATCAGCTTTGACCCATGACTTCTAGCCCATGACTGTTGACCCCTGCCCATTGCCAAAACCTACAAGAGGATTATGACTTTTGACCCATAACATTTGACCCATGACGTTTGACCCATGCCCCCTGACCTGTGAGAGGATGTACTGGTCCTTCTCCTGCAGGAGTTTTGTGTAGGAGGTGATGAAGTCCAGGTAGTTCTTGGGGGTGACGTAGTTGATGCGGCGCAGCTTCTGCTGGAAGAGCCGGCTGTAGTCTACCACAGACTGGTGCACGTACACCAGATGGCTCACCACCTGCTCCTGGTGCTGGTCTGGTACCATCTGGTTCTGTAAGGGTTAAACATGCAAGCTGGTGAGCTTTATGGACATGTATATACCTAATGCCCTATGGCCTGTAACCCCTATCCACCACAGACTGGTGCACGTAAACCAGGTGGCTGACCACCTGCTCCTGGTGCTGGTCTGGCACCATCTGGTTCTGTAAGGGTTAAACATGCAACCTGGTGAGCTTTCTGGACATGTAAAACTTGCCCCATGGCCTGGAAAAGGAAAATACCAAATTTGCCCAATGTCATACGTACCTGGTTATTATGCAAACAAATGCTGCATGCTCTAAGATACCCGCTAAAAAATTACATATCAGCCCTATATACAATATCAGTATATTATCTAAAAGAGAAAAGAAAAAAATTGGTCTACTGCACCTACTTCTCCCACAAACACATTACCTACCAGCTAAACAATCATACAAAAGCCATGCACACAAAGCAGTATCTTATAAACAATATAATCTAAATACAGAAAAGAAGAAATTGGTCCACTGTACTTACCTCTCCCACAAATACGTTAGCGACGGCGTAGAGGGCTTGCTCGGGCCACGGCATGAACCAGTCGATGGTGGTGTTGTTGACCAGCCCAGGGAAGTTCCTGCAGCGCGTCCGCAGAGTGTCGCCAACAGGGGACATGGCCAGGACGATGTGCAGGTTGTTGGAACACTTGGTGACGAAGTACTGCCAGATGGCCTCCCTTGCAGGGCCTGAACCAGCCTTACCGGCTTCATCTCTCATCTGGGACGAACAAAAAGCTGATCACTACAAATTCTGCATACTTTCAAGCTTCTTGTGCATGTAATTACTATATTTTGTTCTAGGAAGGCTTGTTGTCAAATGAAAATGTGTGATTTCAATCCTGGCAATGAAATATTTCAGTGTACATACTTTACAAACTTTAAGGTTGCTCACCACATCACACTTCTAGCAGCCTTTCCACTAGTTAGGCCCCAACCCATCAATGGTTTACATAATGACAGAGAGTTCTGAGCTCCTCTTGGACTGATATGCATAGGGATAAAGAATTCTGATCTGATATTGGTAGTTCTGGCAATGGTAATGGCTCTCTCAAGATAGAGGTACATGTAGAGGTCCAATCAGCCCAACAGCAAGAGACTGTGTACAAGTCCCAATGGGCTGCTAATAGCGAGAGATAGTGTAACACTAAGAAACTTGAGTACTTACCGACTGGATGATGGCATCTTTCTCATCATCAGGATAGAGAGCAGGGACCATGCCTGATGTCAGCATGTTGTTGATCAGCTCCAGAAATCCTACCAACACATCAACAACAACAATGTTATAATAGTTTCTACTTTACTTGTGAAAGACACAGAAGACACAACCACAATTTCAGCACCAAGGAAAGGGGGCCTATCATACTCTGTTCTTGTTTCTATGATTTTGGGAAACCTTGCTGTCAAATTTAGGAACAAAATACAAAACGCTAACATTCAAGAAGGTTGTGAAGGAATAGCCAGCATTTCAGCACCATGGAAAGGACCACACTATTGCCTTTTATGAAGAATAACTTTCCAAACGAATTCAGAAGTCTTTTCAAGATTTAAACATGTAGTAACACACTGTTCTTATGTTATATTTAGTACCCTATATTCATGTAATAGATAAAGTACTCTTAGATTATTATCATATCTGATTCAAAGTCTTTTATGTTTTTGTTTCATTTACAAATTTCACGTACCCTCCTGTGCCACGTGTGCATCTGTGAACAGGAACACGGTCTTCTTGTTCTCCACGCCGAGCTTGCCGTACAGGATCTTCAGGTCGTCACGGAAGTTGGTCTCGTCGTAGCCGCGACTCAGCGTGATCTCGAAGATGTCGCAGCCAGCGGTGAAGGAGGCGAGCTTCGTCAAGCTCTGCTTGCCGGATCCACCCACACCCACCAGGAGGGCGTGGCCTGTGTTTACAAAAAGGTAAAGTTAGTCCCATAGCCTTTTTGAGCCATCAAAGAGTGGAACTCACTGTCACCGAGTACAGTTACTGTAGGAGTATTATCATTAAAGAGTTAGAGATTCAAAGGTTAGGTGTAACAAGTCATTCTGTGTAATGTAGCCGCGTGCCTGGAAACCGAAGGGCGGTTATACCGGCTCTACAGATACAGAATACATTGAGCTGAGGCAAAGAGAAGGGCCAGGAAAGCCTGAATGGCAAATAGACTTGCCATACTGTGGAGTGGCTGTCAACAACAGTGCAATGGAAAGGGAAAAGTATGGTATGGTAAAGGTAGTCCAATAGCCTTTTTGAGGCTGTGTACACAGTGGGCTGTTAATCCACTATGTCTAGGGTACAGTCTCTCCTTCTATCACCTTTTACCTTCCCAACTAAAATTGCGTAGCCATTTTACTATTCGGTGGAGTGAGGGAAGTCATATTAAATGCCTTTCCAAGTATTGCATATTATGTAAATGAACAATGCATAGATAAAACAGTAAATGTCTTGCCTTGGTCCATGCGGATGACGCGGTGGATCCGGGTGAGATGCTCCAGGGCATCGTCAAAAAGCACCAGGTTCATCGGGGTGTAGTTGTCGTTGTACTCCTCCAGGATCTCTTGGAACAACGCCTTGGCTGCGTCATAGTCCTGGCAATCGTAGAAAGAAACAAAGTCATAAGCTGGGGAAACGTTCGAGGATATGGGGTAAAAAATATAAGTTGAACTTAAAGTTTTGAACATTTTTGGAACCTAGTTGTTCTTTATAATGAAGAAATATATCATATTGAATAAAATAGAATATGGTGAACAGCTCTAAGGAAGAGGGGCAAAGTCTATTTTCACAGCTTGACCTTGAAACGACCTTGATTTTTTACAGCTTGACCTTGAAAATGACCTTTCCTTTTTAAAGTTTGACCTTGACAACAACTTTGATTTTACAGTTTGACCTTCACAACGACCTTGATTTTTACAGCTTGACCTTGACAATGCCCTTGACATCTCTGCTCACCTGAATGTCCTCGTACACACGTGGTTCCGCCTCCTCCAGGGCCGTGCGGAAGTCTCCAAACAGGCACGGCTCCCTCAGGACGGCTTCTGTGTGCTGTCTGTAGTTCTCTTCCAATATATTCTTCATCATGCCCTGAAACAGCAACACGAAATTATGAATCAAGGTAAAACCGTAGTAATTTCTAACACCAGAAATTGGACTTACCAAAATTTTTGACTTTGCAACTCCAGTCTTTGTCAAGAACTAGAGTTGTACAGCTACAGAAGAAAAGGGTTAAACATTTGGCTGTGTTCCAGATACATTGTTTTTGAATCAATATTTTGCACAATATCCCCTACTTACTACATCACAAGTATGCAGTTTTCATATCTAAATTGGAATATTGGGATCGTTTTGATCATTTTGTAGCTACTTACGACGACCAGCTCCTTGTCCGTGTCATTGATGAGTCTGTCGTTGAAGACTCGGGCCGTCTCGTTCCTCCAGCAGCGAACAAACTGGGCAGCAGTCTGGAACCTGGGCAGATAACAAGGTACATTCAGAGATATCAGACTTAACTATGGCACACACAGTCCACAGCAGACACACACACAAAGACACACACATACACACACAGACACACACACACACACATACAGACACAGACACACATACACACACACACAGAAGCGTACACACACTCACATTCAAACGTACACACTCAAAAACACACACACATACACACACACAAAAACACACAAAAAAACAATATTCTGAAACAAGTCATAGACAGTCTAGTTTATGACATAAGACTTTCTAATCGGAAAAATAAACAGACCTGTCAGGAGTGGTGAGGCAGAGTCCCTGGTAGGTCCGGGACAGGTCCCGCAGGTTGAAGATGTAGTGGAACTTGGACGGGGTCGGCGGAAGGTCACGCACGATGTTCTGGTACAGCGCCAAGGTCGCAGAGGTCAGCCCGTTGGCCAGCGCACGAATCTCGTCACTAAACGGCTTGAGGTGACCTTGAAGAAGAGTAGCGAGTAGATTTTTATAACTAAGTCTTAATGTTTTTCTCTAGTTATGATGTATTGTGTTGTGCTAAAATTGAGACAGTCTAAGAACTTCTTTGACATCTAGTCTACGAGGATCTACTACTTGAAGTCCCCTTCATTGATTTGTTATGACTTTGTGTGATTCTGGCTCTATGAAAACCAAAAAAGATATAGGTTTTTTTTACTGTAAAACTACTTGATGTAATTGACCTTCAATATGTGACTGCTAGAATATTCTACCATCATCATCGTTATAATTAAAAATCACTATTCGAAAGACGCCAATATTTAATAATTAATTAAAATATTTCTTATATGGAACCTGTATCTTGTTATATTTTGTTTACCCAGCGGCAAGCAGTATTTCACAAATAAACAAAAGAACAAAGAAACAAACAGTCACCTTGCAGGATGGATGAGTAGATGTGATGCAGGGACTCGTCCGACGGGAACGTCATGTTGAAGACCGTGAAAAGCGAGACGAAACGCGGGTCCACTTCGTTACGCCCTCCACCGGCCTTGCCCATAGCGGCCAGGTAGCCAAGGTCCTTCAGGATCTTGTAGTTGAGCTCCTTGCCACGATCGTACATGCCGCCTCGCTCAAGTAGAAGCTTCAGGAGGGCAATGGGCTGCTGGGTGCCGTACGTGTCCACCTAGGGAAGGAAAAGGTATATTTGAGGCAAAAACAAACTGGAGGCTGCATGACTTGCTCTAAAGGACCTGGACAACTAATAGTTTAGCTTGTGCTCAAGCTCTCATGGGGTACTGTGACTTGGCCAGGGAAATCTAACCTTAGAGTGAGAGAAAAGGTAAAACGAAGGTCCTATGAGAGGTGAAAAAAAAGAGTTGTATTTGAGGCAACACAGTTGAAACTGCTTGTGTAGCAGGTGAATCCTGTATATGTATTCATTATCTATCTGTCACAGTGTTTGTTCCCCTGCATGTTTGGCCAGCTATGACCAAATTGAACAAATGATGAGCCTATACAGCTACATTTGTACTTTACCTGTGGCATGTTCATGTCGTCTATGAAGCAGAGGAGCCTCTTCCCGGGCGGGGGACCGTACGTGTCCTTGGTGCGCTTCTCCACGTTAGCCTCCAGGTTCCGCTGCACGTCCATGGAGGTGGTCCTCGACGAGAAGTTCATGGTCAGCAGGAGCTGCGGAGAGACAGAAGATTGTCAGAGGTTTACACAAGAAACAAGAGGTAAGCCTGTTTATGAAATGTGACTGCTCAGTGTCCATGTACTTTTGTCAAGTCAATAAAGAATCTCTCCCCGAAAAATTTGTATCATGAGTCTGTTTTTAGATAGTGGTACTGATGTCTTTCATTACCACAATTATGGCAGAAATTGCTTTCAATTTTGTGACTCAAGTTGATTTCGATTTGATTTCCTTTATGAGGGGCTTTGCTATTCTGAGCTCTGCTGTGATAAAGCTTGTAGTGTTTATGTACTCAATATTCTTAATTAATATTCAATAGATTACATTCTTTAAGGACTTTGTGAGATGATATTTGACAATATGTACAAGAAAGAAACTTTGTTTAGGCAACTGCCTTCATCAGTGAAGATTTTGTTGTTTCATGTCCTTACATGGGTCTCCTTATCCACGCTGCGTAGGAAGTCCTGGATGGTGGCCGTCTTGGACGTCCCGGTCTCCCCCACACACTCAAACACAATCACACATAAACACATTGTAACTAATGATATCATACAGGACATATGGGACTCTGTAATGTCCTTACATGTGTCTCCTTATCCACGCTGCGTAGGAAAGTCCTGGATAGTGGCCGTCTTGGACGTTCCTGTCTCCCCCACAAGAACGACCGGGCGCACACACAAACACACTATAACCAATGATATCATATAGATTGTGCCATTGATCCATTTTGGGACTTACATGTGTCTCTTTGTCCACACTGCGTAGGAAGTCCTGAATCGTTGCTGTTTTGGACGTTCCGGTCTCGCCCACCAGGACAACCGGGCGCTTGATGTTGACCATGAGCTGGACGAGCCAGGTGGAGCGGACGGTGTCGACCGTGGGGACCAGGATCTCGTTGAACTTCTTCTCCGGGTCGTGGACGTACTTGGGCACGAGCTCGCCCCATGGGATCCACCGGTTCTGTACGTCATCGAAGAAGTACTCGTACAGAGTCGGCTGGGCGCCTGGGGAGGAAGGAGACACCAGAACTTAAAACAAAGCTATAAAAAGAATTTTCAAAGTAATTTTCTCATTACATGAACAGTTACTCATTCTGAATAATAATACATGAACTTAGGGTGTTACACTGAATGGCGGTTGTACTACCAATACAGACTGAAAAAGATGATATGTATGATACAACACTGGACAGCAAGTCCTGCTGATGTTCCATACACATAAAACACACAATACAACAGTAAGGTACCAATTTTATTAGTCATGGCCGTGGACCATGTTGGGAGAGCAACAGCAGCTAGGATTCGAACGCCCATCCTCTTAGCCCAGGGGCAAACTAGTTGCTAACCACTGGACTAAGCAGGCTATACATGATCACTTATATGGGAACTTTTCTCACCAGGTATTTCCCCGATGCCAGCGTACTTCCCAGGCTCATCAGAGATGGTGGTCATCTGGGACAGGCCCTTGATGAACTGGTCAAACTTCACCCGGCCGTCCTCCAGCAGGGCGCCCCCTATGGACCAGTAGAGGCACTGCAGGAAGTAGGCCTCCAGGATCATGGAGTCTGACACCTCCTTCACCAGGATGGCGTTCAGCATGTTGGACAGCTGGACCACCTGTAGTGCGAACATTAAGACAATCATGCAGCGATGAAGAATTACAGATAATTATTGCACATGCATTTCTAATGCTAAGTGCAAGTTAGTATACACCAGAAATAGTTGTAGCGAACAATAAAATGAAGATTATGTGAGGGGGTTGTGAAAATGATTTTTCAAGACATTATTTCAAAACAGGGGGGCAATGCAAAAAAATCATGTATTTACAAAGTTGACAGCAAAATCACAGAAGAAAAGACTATACTAATTGTAAAATTCTAGAGTCAACCTCAACAATGTGGCCCTGATTTTCTTTCCTTGTGTATGATTGACTTCCTCTAACTGTAGACTTGTGACAGTGAGTGTTCTTTAACTTCAAACTGTTCTTGCTCAAAGCCACAACTGTGTTTCAAAATTCAAAGCAATATACACTCTGAGTTGTTATTAGTATTTATTACTAATGAATAGTTTCTGTTTAAAAATTTTCATAAAAATTTGACCTATCCCTACCAGGTTGAGGTTCGTCAGCGGCACGATGCACTTCAGCTTCTCCCCCTGCCGTCCGTCCACGATGCCTTCTATCACCATGTCGATCGCCGGTGGGACGTATTTCTCAAACAGCCTGTTCAGGTCGTCCCTCTCCGCCTTGTTGGGCCTGCCGTTCGCCCACTTCTCCCAGAAGGGCTTGTAGCCGAGGTTCTTCGGGTCAACGTAAACCATCCCGCAACGGGACACGGTAGCTGGGGAAGCGTACTGTAGGTCTCCCACCTGCAAGGGGCAAGGCAATGTCATGATCAGGACTAGTGCAGTGTACCTAAACTCATGTTTAGGTTCAGGTCCGGATTCAAGTCCAGAAGTCGTCCCACTCTTCCTCGGTAATGGAACGCTGTGATGACCCTATTGGTACTTCTGGGATTGGGAACCATTCTCTAGACTTGGGGGTAAGTGCCTCTTGGGGAAGAGGCCCAATCAGCCCATGATAGTGCAAGATTGTGGAACACAGGCTAGGAGGCCCAATCGGTCTATGTCACTGATCATTGTGTAACACTAAGGCTATATTTTCCCACCTCGAACAGCATGGCGCAGTGTTTCTGCAGACGGATACGCTCTCCGTTGGCCAGAGTCAGCAGCTTGTTGTCATCCATGACAGAGTTCATGTTCTCCACCCACAGGGCGTCCACGTCCCCGTCATACAGGATGTATCGACGCTCCTAGATATAACAATAAAATTATTATGGTCCAGGAGATTTCAAACTTCAAGTATGTACATGCAGGTATTTGACAAATTGTCTTCTCCTTTTTATTAAATACACATTCATACTCGGACTACATCCAACACAATTTTCCTCAAGGCCTTCTGTCTGCATTTATGACTCTGCTGATACGGTTTCCACTGTATAGTTTTGTTAAGCTGGTGTGTTATGCAAAAGGGCAGTTATACCGGCTATACTGATACAGATACCATATGTTGCACATACACTACAATCCAAAAACCCTTCTAGACTCCTAGTGTATCAGAACAGTTACTTTACTTAATTAAGACTTTCACTGCCTGTCCCAAGTTTGTACATAAATAACAAAAGAAAATACCTGCTTCTCTCCCTGCAGAGGCTTGTTGATCTCTCTGAAGATGTTGGAGAGCATCCCGTCTGTCCAGTCTCGCGTGATGGGGTCCAGGATACCGTACAGCTCGATCACAGTACAGGCCTTGGGGTTCATCACGTACAGCTTGGTGTTCAGGCCCAGTCTGTGTGGACAATTATGGGTTGAGCATCAAATCTGGTCTATGTGGACAGGTGGCCACTATAGACGGGCTCATTAATGGTTGTGTCAATGGGGAAATTATTTAATGCTGAGGTTACATTTCCGGGCCCGGCCGGGTAGTCTTATGGAATGAAAAGTGTGACATAAAAGACAACAAAGCACAAAAAAGTTGAAAAAAATTATGATGGGAACTATTTGTGTATATAATTGATATAAATTGTTGATTTTTTATTAATAAACAGTCCGGTCGGGCCTCAACATGGATATGTGAGCATAATAAGTACTGTCTTTTGATAGTTGACATACGTAGGGAGCAGGGAGAGGCTTTCTAAGCTGTTAGAGAAGATTTTTTTAAACTGTATAGTTTTAATAATCACCTTGTTTGTGCCTGTGCCAGTGTGTTGATGACCACAGACTTGCCCCCTCCTGTGGGCCCCACGATCATGGTGGTGTGTCTGGTCAGCATGGTCTCATACATCTGTACTACCTTGTCAGCCTGGGTACAGCAAAAATCAATCAATCAATCAATCAATGACTTTTTATTCATTCACAAACAACTTGCAGATGTAGACAAAAGTCTGATTATTGTGTTTGGGAAGGTTTGAGAAAGGCATTACAAATGATAGTTATTGAATTAAGACCCTACACTTTTGTAGTTAGTGTCAATAGGCTCGTTCTCATTGAAATGTACAAAATGGTGATTTTTTGGGTCGAAAAATCGATGATCTGTTTTTTCAGGCAAACCTACCTTATTTTTTAGGAAAACATCTCAAATAATGATTACCTAAAAAGGACAGCTTAATTGCCATGGGAAGTTACCGAAAATCTAAGCACTTAGATAAGACATATGTAAACAATGCAATTTTTAGTGCAGCAAAAACGCTGGAACATCAGCATGAATTGGGTGTACGTAAAGCTTGTATTCATGACATCACTTCAGAAGCCATTAGTTTAGACGTCAGTATCTATGAAAGTACTTCTGTCAACCCATTATTTACTGGTAAATATACAGTCTTGTCTAAAACGGTCTCAAACTAACCTGTTGTGGAAGCAGGATGTAGCCATTATCCTCCAGTGACTGCTCGACAGCGTCATTGAAGCTCGGGTAGCGAACCCGGGGGCAGTCCAGGCCGGGGAACAGGTCCCCGATCAGCCCCAGGAAGAGCGGGACGTCCTCAAACACGAACTTGGGCAGGTTCATGTCACGCAGGGCTCGCATCAGCACAACGTCCTGGGGCAAGGTAGAAGTTGTACAGTTGTTAGCTGTTTTATAACATATGGTACATCATAACTGGAAACATTTGCAAAGCAAATGCATAATGCTTACCTCCAAATGGTCTATCCTAACAAACTACTGCTCTGTTTATAGTAGTAGTAGTAGTAGTAGTACTTTGTGGTAAACTCAAACCTATTCGTATAATGTTATATAGTGACCAGCCCCTTCAACTCTGTCCTGCCAGGTGCTACATAATGTAATCCGACACCATAGGGTGCCTGCTACAGCACTGGTCACCAGCACTGGTGACGGCCATCTGGTCCAGGTCATTGCCCTTATTTCTGCATCTGTATAGTCAGCATGATACACCAGCTATTTGTTTGAAACAGAAAAAGAGAAAATAACACAAAAGCAATAATATTTTCCTTCAGATCGTAAACATAACTATATCATATCATAGAATTTTGTCTCATCGTTGTCATCTTCCCATCGCTATGAATGAATTATATCATATCACTTATAACAAACCCACCTCGTCCAGGTCGGGTGAGCCTCTCTTGAGCTCTCCTGCCATCACCAGGACAGATTTGAGCGCTCGCAGACCGAAGTCGTAGTGGTGCTGCTTGGACAGCTGCTCCTTAGCCAGCTTGTACAACACCGTCATCTTCTTGGCAAGGACCTGGTAGGACAATGAATATTAAAATGAATGAATGAATGAATATAGTTCAAGGAAGAAAGGGAGGGAAAGAAGGAACAAATTAAGAAAAGAGGGAAGAAATGAAGGAAGGAGGGAAGGCAGGAAGGAGAGGAAGGAAGGAGGGAAGGAAGAGGGATGAAAGGAGGGAAGGAAGGATGGAAAGAAGGAAGGATGGAAAGAAGGAAGGAGGAATGGACAGAAGGATGGAAGGAGGGATGGAAGGAGGGAAGGAGGGATGGATGGAAGGAGGGATGGAAGGAGGGAAGGAGGGATGGATGGAAGGAGGGATGGAAGGAGGGATGGACGGAAGGAGGGATGGAAAGAGGGAAGGAAGGATCATCAAAAGCTTTTCTATAGACAATTGAGTAAAAGCCTGAAATATTGGTCAAATCTGCTATGAAAGAATAGATAGTATTAGATAAAGGAAGCAAGGAAAAGACGGATAACAATAACTGAATGAATTAAGGAATGAAAAATTACAACATTTATGGTACTCGGCTCAGCTGTGATGCAAGAGGACAAGATAGTAGAATGAACAAAATGATCCAATGAATGATTCAAAGAGGAGGCACTTGTAATGCCCATACCACAAAAAAAGTAAGTGCAATTATTGAGTTTTATTTATTTCTCTTAATATTACTGTATTCTAACTTCATTATGTGCAATGGTGTAAACAATAGTGTTGACTTTTAAAATGAAATCTACATTGATTTGCAATTCAGTAACTTGTACTTTAAGTTTACTGCGAATGATCAATAAATAATTCTTGATTCTTGAAAAAGACAAATAAAATCCCACCGACCTTGGCAAGCAGGAATCCTTCGGAGAACAGCATGATCTCGCAGATCTGCTGCAGATCCGGCACGATCACCACCACGGGGCGGAACAGTGCCTTGACGCTCTCTGGCAGCTCTGTACGCCCCGCGTACCCCGGGTTCATCGTGATGAAGATACCCATACGATCGTCCATCGCGATCTCACTGCCCTCAAACTGGGGTACAAAATGTGTTCAAAATGTTAAATAATTTAACTTTGACTGTTTTATGACAATAAAATGAATCAGATGAAATTTCTTCAATTTTGAAGATCCCCATATGATCCATGGCGATCTCACTGCCTTCAAACTGGAATGTGGAGGTACAATGTGTTCGTGTTACTACAGTACTGTACAGTAACTGACAGTGTGTTTTTACTGTAACAGTTAACAGTTAAAGAACAGGGCCTTCACGCTCTCCGGGGTTCATCGTGATGAAGATACCCATACGGTCATCCATCGCGATCTCACTGCCTTCAAACTGGAATGTGGAGATACAATGGGTTCATGTTACTGATTCTGTTTTTTACTAATTAACCCAGGATTCATTGTGATGAAGATCCCCATACGATCGTCCATCGCGATCTCACTGCCTTCAAACTGGAGGTACAAAATGCCTTCATGTTACTCGTTATTTTTGCATTAAAGGATTATAAAATATTGGCTGTTTTATGACTGAAGATTCAGTCATTTTGTGGTGGTTTTTCCCAGGGGTTTATTGTAATGATGATGCCCATATGATCATCCATGGCAATCTCACTGCCCTCAAACTGGAGGAGGAGGTAGTTATTTTATTTATCTATCTAGTACTTAATATGATTTCTCACACCAGAGTGGCACTCTGAGTCTGATCACTGCATAATGTTAGCTAATTGACGAAGTATTATTCAGTTTTACGGTTTCTCTGTCCTTGGTGCTGAACTCTGTGTGCTGTTATGGCACATGTGTTATGTACTGTTTCTTGAAAAGAGCAGTGGGTTTTTCACTAGTGCATTAGCCCTAGATGTACTGTGATGTGACAGTCCTTCTTACGATTAGTCGGAGTGTGTTTGTTTTGCTTTATTCATTTTGATTGAACATACAGCCAAGGCTCAACAACTATTGAGGGTGAACCTTGAGGCTGATACAAAACTAGGATTTGCCAGGACATACAGGGATATAGACATAAAAAAATGACTCAGGACCGTACCTGGAAGCGCTTGAGTTTGTGGATGAGTGCGTTCTGGATGGTCTTGATCTGCGATGAGATGACAGACAGCACGGACACGTCGATACGGTTAAACTCGTCGAAGCAGCCCCACGCTCCACACTGCGCCAGACCCGAGAAGATCTTACCTACAGCCTGGGGGGACAGATCAATCAATCAATCAATCAATCGATAACCAATAACCGATCAATCAATCAATCATGGTCCTAGGTTCGCACATCATACAGGGGAATTGTTCCATGAAATTGTTCCAGGAGAACAGATGTGTTGGGAAATGCCCAGAACTCAGTGTGAATTCAAAACATTGACACAAAGTTGTTGGAGACCAACAAATTAATCAGGCTATTGGTATGAACTCTTCAAAGTAACTACAGTCTAAAGGATGGGAAAGCAGAGACACATCTAAATGTTCACTGCAGAATGAGAACTTATTATAAGCTATAGTAAGAACTATCTACCCTTCAATCAGGACTTTTATCAAAGTTCACTGTACATACATCCAGTTATCATCTGTTGTTCCCCGTAACTTAGGGTTAGACATGCTTGCACTCTGATGCTGGGGCTTCATAGTAGCTTGCCATTTACCTTTTTCATGTGATTTTTGGGCACAGCAAACAAATTTCTACACAAAAAAGCTATTCAACATTATCAAACATGTGTGGTTAAGCTTAACTAACAAAGAAGGAAGAGTGAAATGGTGACAGAGACGTACCTTGAAGTCCATGCCTTCACCACAGTTGGTGACCACACACAGCAGGCCGAGTGCCTTGGCCAGATCCTTGGTGGTCTCAGTTTTACCTGTACCAGCAGGGCCGGCGGGAGCACCGCCCAGGTACATGGACAGGGCCTGGGGGTAACAAACAAGGCATGGTTAGTGACTCTATCAGACCTCAAAATTGACTTCTCTTCCCATTGTCCCAGGACTGTCCTAAAAATAACTTTCTATTGTCCCGAAGTAAGGATGAACTGTCCCAACCTATTTTTGGGGAAGTATTGTTCACAGTACAGTATGACTACAACTTGAAGTCAACTTTATTTTGCTTACATTCTGAACAAAAGAAGGGCTGACATTCTGATGTTGATTATTGTTCTGTTGTCCCAAAAATGTCCCATAATGTCTTTTTGTCCCAGCCAAAATTTTAGTTGTAAGTGGCCATAGGGACAACATTAATTTTCAGCCCTGCTATAATATGGATAGAGTATGTGTTGGCACAGTATTGAGGGGTAGAACTTGAGAAATATCTTGTAATACGGACCTGTGTGAGGGTAAGGTAGATTCGATTGGTAAGTGGAGTGATGACCAGCCTCCCATTAAGACCCATGCACTCGTAACCATACCCAAACTTTACAGTTTACTACGTAACCATACTCTTTTGCAATATTCTCATAGTATATAGTTATACGTACGGATGAAATATTTCGAAAGCCCACCTGTGTGAGGGTTAGGTAGATCCTGTCTGTGAGTGGAGTGATAACCAGCCTCCCGTTGAGACCCATGTACTCGTAGCCGTACCCAAACATGCCGGTACACTGTCGCACCATCAGTTCTTACTAAAGACTTATTACAGATGAATTATACTTTCGAAAACCCACCTGTGTGAGGGTTAGGTAGATCCTGTCAGTAAGTGGAGTGATGACCAGCCTCCCGTTCAGACCCATGTACTCATAACCGTACCCAAACGTGCCGGTACACTGTTTCACCATCAGCTCATCCATGGGTCTGTCCCAGTAGAACCGCAGCTGGCTCTCCCACTCAAACTCACGGATGTCCATGATACTGGAATAACATAATTACAATAAATCTGATAAAATCGCTCAAGCTAAAAAATGTCCATGATACTGGAATACATTGGCTACATACAGCGGCAAGAAGCAGAACTCCAGTCAGAAGCTCTGAGGAAGGTGTCTGATAGACATCGAAACATCAGCACTTTAGCGGAGAATATTTGGTTTGTGAAACAAAACTTCTGTATCCAATACTGGAATATTATGATATAAGAGTTGGTCACTCTTACCAGCAACTTGAGTCACTCTAGATTATGAAAAGCTACAAGAATGTTTTGGCATCTCTAGATCCAGTCAATCGAATTTTAGAGGGACACTCTTGGCAGTATAACAATTACTACCGATTTCTATGTTTAATTTTTTTTTTAAATATGGATGCTTCAAAGTCCTTGAGTTGTTCAAATTGACTACAAAAATTAGTAATAAGTGCGCATCCTGGGAGAATGACAGAGCTAGGATTTAAACTCAATCTTTTGGTCAAGATGCTTCCTGTAACGTAATCAACCCTAACCTGTCTCTGACGAAGATGTCAATGATGTCCCTTGCGTGCACGTCGATGATGAGCACGGTGTTGAACTTGGCACGGTCGTTCTTCGACAGCTCGGACCTGACCTTGACCACAAGGTCGTCAATCTGCTTGTGCATCCTCTTGGCGTAGTTCTTCATGGCGTTCTTGTCACCCTTCTTGACCTTGGAGGGGACACAAATAAGCCTTAAGGCCTCCAGCACATTCATTCTGTATACTTTACACTGGATGAAGTAGGTTCGGATACACTCATATCCTGCCCGTACCTTTCCCATATTTTTTTTATTTCCTATGTCCAGCATCCGCTCGTATATGCTCGTACTTGTAAAGAATACGGAAAAGATACGGGGCGGAATAAGAGTGTATCCAAACCTATTTCGTCCAATGTTATTTTGTTTCCTTTGTGTATTAATGTTATATTTACTTTCTCTGTTGTTTTATGTGCATGTGTAAATAAACATAAACAAACCTTGTTGAAGGTGTCCTCCACCTCCCATGTCCACCAGACTTGGTTACCAGCTAGTACTACCATGCCCTGGTACAGGGTCATCCATTCAACCCTGCAGAAAAAACATCAATAAGTTATTAGCTTAACTTATTAACTTGTGAACTAACTTAGCAACTTGTGAACTAAAGCTCCCAAGTCCACCAGACCTGGTTCCCTGCCAAAACTACCATGCCCTGGTACAGGGTCATCCATTCAACCCTGTGGAAAATAGATTAGTAACTTATTAACTTATCAACTTATTAACTAAAAGTATTAACTAGTTAAAAGCTCCAATGTCCACCAGACCTGGTTCCCTGCTAGTACTACCATGCCCTGGTACAGGGTCATCCATTCAACCCTGTAAAAACACATCAATAACTTACCAACTTTACTTAGTAACTTATTAACTTGTTAAATAATCTCCCATGTCAAGCGCTACCATCCAATTAACTCACACAAACACACACAGTCAGATAACTTATTACTTCATTAAGAAAGTTACTACTAGCTTAATGTCACATGCAATATGTAAAAAAGGGTGTATCACAGAACTGTGGCAGACAGTTAAAAAGAAATCATTTCTATTCTGAATCTTTCATTTCATCCTGGAAAGACAAAATTTCTTGCAGCTCCTTAAGTTTCAACAAAGTCACACAGCGACTATCTTAAGACACATTACCTGGGCATGCCATCCTCGCAGTACTTAAAGATGGCCTCCTTGGTGATGAGACGGTTGGTGGACCTCATCTCCTGTAGCACGGCTGTCATCCAGTCTTCCACACGCCCCTCAGCAGCCACGTTAGACCTGAACTCCATCACCTCCCCCTCAGCTGAGATCATGGCCGTCGCCAGGGTCTCCCCGTTGGAGCCTTCTTGGAACCGCAGCGCAGCAATGTTGTCATACATCTGTTGGGCACAAAAATGACTGTTAAGTCATGTCATCATGGTGGAAAAGTTCTAGGTTTGAATCCCGCAAAATCTAGATGCTATGGATCTGGTAAGTGCAGACCATCTAGTACAATAATGATAGTCTAATGCAGGATAAGCATTTGGTAACTTAAACCATATCAATCCAGAAATGATACTTAACTTAAAAATTGCAGTGCAGAAATGCTGTCAGTGACACATTTACAAGGGACACATGTAAATGGTGGTGCCATCTTGGTCTTTAGGTCTTTAGGATTGTTGACACAGAATGTCATCCCCTTGCTGATTTGCAATGACTTTCATTTACAGCACAGTGCATCACTTTTTGATGGCTACACTGGAATGGTTTTGACCCACCCAGATTGCTAGTTACCTTAATCATGTGTTCCTGCACACAGTTGGGGTCTGAGCTGCCCAGGATGCTGAGAAGCTCCTCGTCTGAGATGAAGAAGAACCTCGGAAAGGCATTCCGTTTGGAGTCCAGATAGTCGTTCAGACTCTTCTGGCACTTTTCTAAACCGTCGCTCAGGTTCTGCAGGTCAGACAGGCGGTTGGGCGCGTGGCACGTCGATTTGATGATCGGGGACTTCGCTGTTTCATTCATGATCTGTTAGGAAGAAGTATGTAAGTTAAATTGCATCTTGAAAGTCAATCAGTGTTGGTAGAAGTTATCATGAAGCAAGTTTTCAACACAATTTTTGTGACTCCAATTTCTTGTGTTGGAAATGAAAGTTTACACGTGTTTCATAATAAGTTAGATTGTATTTGATATCTGATTACTTTGGGTGACTTGTCTGCTTTATTTGTGATCTGTGGCAAGAAATGTAGCCTCTGTTACACAATCTCTCACTGTCTGGGGCTGATGGTAGGAGAAGTTGGCAAGAAGATGAACAGATAATAGTGTGGTCCTTTCCTTGGTACTGAAATGGTGGTTACCTTCTTAATATTCTTTAGCATCTTGTTCTTTTTTCTAAATCTGACACCAGAGTTTCCCAAAAATCATAACAAAAATGAAGACAAGACTATAATGTGGTCCTCTCCATGGTGCTGAAATTATGGTTATTTCTTCAAAATGATGAAAATGTTCTAACTTTGTTCCAGAAAAACAAGTATGTGTGTACCTTTTTGAAGATCTTGTCGATGGCATCAAACTTCTTGGCCTCCTCTGGCAGCTGTGATCGGATGTCTCCTGCCAGGAAGATGCTCTCCAGGTACATCCACTTCCTCTGTACCACCATCCACACCTGGTCAGGGAAAATAGACATGAAGCATTTATCAACTACAGTCATATCAATCCACAAAATCGAGGTAGCAACACTAGGAGGTGGGCTACAACAGTTTTATTTCCAGCCTCCACCACCTTAGCAATGAGAGAAAGGCCCTCCTCCCAGTTCTGCCCTATTGTGCATTTGGTAGGGTGCATAGTCTAGTGGCCAACCCAATATGCAGGCTACTGTAGAGGACAATATGCCGTTCCATGGTATTCTGTTCATTGTAACCAGTAAATTCTGTGCTTCTGTCTTCTCTGTCACGATGAGTGGGAGATTAGCTCTTTAGTGAGCTAAAACTGGAAACAACATGGGAAGTGCCTACCTCAGCCACCTCAGCAATGAGGGACAGGCCCTTCTCCCAGTTCTGCCTTTTTTTGCTAACTGTTTGGAAACTTAAAAAACTCCACAAACAGTACTAGGGGTCCGGAGAAATAATATAAGATTTTTATTCCTTACCTCCACGACTTCAGCGATGAGAGACAGGCCCTTCTCCCAGTTCTGTACGGTCTGGAGGAAAGGTCCGACAAAGCGCGAGGCCGACATGCTCTGTAGGTTCATCGCGTTGTCGTCCAGAATCTGCATCACGTCATCCACAGAGCCCAGGATAAACCCACGGTCAGACGTGCCTGGCAACAGGGAAGGTACAAGATGGTTAGATAGATACTCAATCAACAACCATGAAGTGCCTACAATAATCTGCTAGCTGTGTTAGAGCTGGCTAGGCCATAATACAAGACTTCCATCAATAAGACTGAAAAAGCAGCACCCACAGAGGAAATGACGCAGAAGTCAACCCAGGATCAACCCAGTCTGGTGTATTTCAAAAGGAAAGGTTAAAAAAAGTAAAGGTAGTTCCATGGCCTTTTTGACATGTGGGTTGTTAATCCACTGTATTTAGGGCACGATATTGGAAGGTGGAGCCCATCCCTCTCCTTCTACTGCCTTTTACCTCCCCAACTGGAGACAGTCCTTTTAAGTGCCTTTTCCAATAACCTCTTGGTCTTGTGTCTGACAGCCAAACTAGCACACAACATTCAGCACCAAGGACAGGTCGGGAAAACTTTACATACAAAAATCTTAACAGAAAAAGAAACACCAATTTTCACTTTAGGGAACGTTAGTAATAAATGGTTTATTGGTCCAACATTACTCATGCAAACGCAGCCTTTTATAGCGATGAAACTACGTACAGGTTCAGTGCATACAGAAGCAATGTACCAAGTTCTTACCTTTGATGTATTTGTGCACAGTAAACTTCATACTGGCCCACGTCTCTTCTACCTCCTTGATACCCTGTTTGAAAAGAGAAAAGACTGGATATGAGGTCTGACATCATTTTATAGGACATATACACTGTATCACTACCATTCTGTAATTCTGTTACAGATTTGTAAGAGATAAAAAAATTGTTAGAAGGCAGTAAGTCAAAGACATGATACCAGACAGGATATCTCTTACCTTCCCAATCTTTAAGACTGAAGTTGTAACTTGAAGTTAGTGTTTCTCTTTTTAATTAGACAAAGACATGCTACCTAAGACATCCCCTGCCTTCTTGATGCTGAGTTCCTTAAAGCCTTAGGAGATGAGAGTTTTTAGACATGCTGTCTATCCAAGGCACCCCTACCTTCTCGATGCTGAGTTCCTTGGAAGCGGAGGTGACGATGTCAGCGATAGTTTCTGCGTAGTTGTGCAGGTCCATGGCAAACAGATTCTCCAGTGTGAACGTCTCCGGGTTCATGTCAAACGACTTTCCTGTCTTCTCCATCAGCTCCTTCCAATGACTGGGAATTAGCAAAGAGGGTCAGATAAATTTCTTAGAATGATAAATTTGCATACATTATGAAGGATCTCTTTCTCTCTATCGGGTTCAACGTCTGTTGTTCCCCGTAACCGAGGGTTAGACGTGCTCGCACACTGATGCTGGGGCTTGATGGTAGCTTGTCATTTGCCTATTAGTTTGTCCTGTGGTTCTTGGGCACAGCAAATGTCAATACCCCTGCAGGTTAGAGTATCAGTAACTTCACCTGCCAGCCATGCAGTGTCCAACATTAGGTGATGCAGTTAGACATCCGAAACAAGATCATTCCAGTTGAAAGTAGCAGTCTGCTGCCTAGTGTACCATGTGTATGACTGTTACATGAATATTTCATGAATAAACAATTTCAAACAAACAAACAAACTGACGTACCGTTCTCTCAGCGCCTCGTGTTTGAGATCCACGAAGAGCGGGATGGAGGCCTGGAACTCCCGCATCTTCCCGTCCAGGTGGTGGGCCACCGGGAGGCTCTTCACGTCCTTCGGCATGCGCTTCAGCTGCTTGATAAACCCTTCAATACCCTCCACCAGCTGGTTCACGTTCAGGTTGGCCCAGAGGGTCTGAGACCACTCCTCACGCGCAGCCTGGGGAAAACAGGTCACAACAAAAAGGCTCCAAATCCTGTCTTCAGCATATTTGCACTGGTGCAGATAACATTGAAAATTACTTGCACCAAACAAGTTTTACTTGCACAGAACATAATATTATAGTAATCTATACAATGTAACAAGACATGTTTTGTACAAGCCTAGGCCCTGCAACTCACCTGCAAGACAATAAATTGACCTAAAAAGCAGGATAATAAAATACAGTCATACTATCAGTGCACTTCAATAGTCCGGTATAGTTAGTAATACTTGACGTTCCAGTTTATACGTTTTCTAGTTGCCAGTATGTTTGGGTCCACGTCTCTGGTTCGACTGATGCTTCTGTGCATTAGAGGGTGAGTCTTACACAAGTTCTTGAAATACACTGACACTGAATGTAGCAGGATGAAACTTAACTCTAGGCCTGTAGCCGCCAAGTATTCTTGGTTTTCCCATGTCTTTCCTGTATGCGGCAGCCAAAAATTCTTGATTTTCTGGTATCCCAAACATGAACATGTCCCATTCCCTCATTCCGCGCAGACCCGGAAGCTACTTTACCCGCGACAAGTCGGGAGAGATCAAGGGTCGACATGGTCTTGCACAATCACTGTGACGTCATCCAATGGGCCTTTGCACGCTAATTTATTCCAAAATGTTGACGGTCATCTGCGTTTTCTTTTGTTATGTTGTTTACTGTGGTTTTAGGTGACAAATTTGTAATGTAATGTTACTGAGCCAACCTTCTGTTGTTTGTAGAGTGTGTAGATGATTATTGACTAACCTTCTGTTGTTTGTAGAGTGTGTAGATCATCTCCAGCCCCTTCATCTCCTTCTGTACCTGCTGCAGCAGCGGGTACATGGTGATGGGCAGGTCAAACAGTCGCTCAGCGTTCGCCAGCTCCTGCCGCTCTCGCTCGTACTTACCCAGCTCCTTCTGGTACTGCTCCAGGATCTCAACTCCTGAGCAGATCAAGTCATATAAAACAGATGTCAGTCATCCATTTTTGGATTAGGTTAGGAGATTTTGTAGACGAAAATTAATGCAATTAGATAATTGAGAGTTCCTCTGGTAGTGTCCAGAATCTCAACCCTCAAATTTAAAAGAAGATGCTATATTGTATGTATTCAATGTAAATTTTATGTTCAGCTTTTTTTTCAATCATATCAATCATAGTAACCTTTAAAGTGCAATAATATGTGAAAACTACACAATGGTCGTTTGTCAATTCATTGATCTAAGGTGACAGTTGAAAATTTCTGTCTCTTTAGGGAATATCTTAAAATCAAGAGACTGCAATCAGGATCTCTGCCAGTAGAATATTGTTGTCCTGGGGAATGTACACGTGTAGTAGAAGGACTATCCTAGCTTGACCAGTGAACATAAGAATTTGTAATATCTTCCTGAAGTTCCCTGTGAGTTCCAGACCTTACCTTTGTCTAGGTCAGCCCCCACGGCTCCTGGGCCCTCTGCATGGAACGTCTCCCCAAACTTGTTCAGGTCCTTATCGTACTCCTTAATCTGCTGCAGGGTGATCTGAGTACAGCAAGGAAAGGGAAAAAATCTTTCACTTACTCACTGTCCAGTTTATCTTAGCATGAAAGTTCATCTGTGTTGGTACAAGTCATTATGAAATAAGACTAAGCTTTAACTTCCAACACGGGTCCATTCCGTGAACAAGGTTGATGGAGTCAACCGAAAATTTGGGGTAAGTCCCATTTCTGTAATCTAAGTGTTCGAAGTTAAAGCTTAATCTTATTTCATAATTCGGTTTATCGTCTGTTGTTCCCTGTGCTCCAAGGGTTAGACGTGCTTGCACACTGAGGCCAAGGCTTGATGGCAGCCTGCCAAATTTGCCTCTTATGTGTGCTATTTTTTATCTGAATGGCATTGTACTACATCTAAACATAAGGACGGTGCTTAATTTTTGGTACCTTTAGTTTTCTGTGTAGTTTAGTATCTGCTATGATGTGAAATTTCACCAGACTGAGTGCAGTGCAGTAGTTATGAATTTGCTGCGTTCTTTGGGTTTTACTTTAGCTACTAAGTACTTCTGTAGTGTGGACAACCTTTGATTCAGTGTAGTTTGGTTACAGAATCTGACATAACCTGTGGTGTTTTTTCTTGTGTCTAATTAAGTTGCTGTTGTGCCGTCTCAAGAATCCAGGTAAGAATCCAGGTAAGAATACCTTTAAAACTAAACTCAAAGTGTTTAACACGCTAACATTGACCCCAAGTTAAAGCTACAAGTACAAACTGACTAATAACAAGTCTGATCCAGGCTTTATTTCCACCTATGCTGCTAATAGTCTGGTGTTTGTGGGACCACTATTTATTTTTGAGCTGATCACCAAGTCACCTGGCTGTACTCACTTCTAGACTTAGATGCTGGGTTTTGAAAACATCGAGGTAAAAAGGGATACAAGTTCAACATTAATTTGACATAATCATATAACAAAGTCATACAGAATTAAGTATACCTTATTGTACCATAAATGGGATACTATTTGATGTGCATTATAACAACATCTAGGACAACTATTTGACATAGGATTACCCTTGTCATTAGGTATTCTTTACTGTTCCAGATTGAAGCAAGGTAAATCTAACTAACAAGAGTATTCTAGGCCTCTAAATAATAAAAAAATTTGATCTATTCTATTTTCTTTTCTTCTTTCACTTGAATCCAACAGATATGCAGAGATTATCCAGAACCGTGCCTGATGCTAGCCCTAACCCATTCAGGCATAGAACTAGATTGGCACAGTTCTGGGTACAAGAGAAGGTGTGAAGGGTTGTGTAGGCTCACCTCAGTAAACTTCTTCTTGACTGGCCCGAGTCGTGCGTCGACGTACTTGGAGTCCATGAACAGATCTCCCCAGATCTGAGGCATGTCTTTCACCAACTCTGTCTCTTCTTCTGTTACCTGAAAAAGTAGGGGGGACGTGAAGGTAGGGAATTCATCTAGTACATAAAGCAAGAATTTTCACTGTTGAAAGCTTGTGGGTTTTTTTTTACGGTTCTTAGTGGCAAAGCTGCAGACCTAGAATTAAAGACTGGAGCTGAACCAGTTGAATTTCTTGTATTGGAAGTTACAGTTTGTGCTCAAATTTACTTTATCTAAAATGCGACAGAACATTATACTAACTTACAGGCAGCTAGGCTGATATTCGTAAGTCAACAATAATACATAAGGGGACAACAGGTAACGTTACATAGATTATAATACATGTAATTTCTAATTAAACCAGCCGACAGTAGTTTTAAAGTCAATATCACACTCATAGAAAAGACACCATATAAACTAGGTACTTTAAGTCAAATATGAAAAACTAGTTTCATAATTGCACCCTATGTCCCACCTCTATCTTGTACATCCCCAGGGTTCTGTATCTCTCCTGCAGGTCCACAAATCTCATCTCCACATCCAGAGAGATGTCTTTAATGTTGGCGATCACGCCGAGAACAAACTTCAGATCCTCCAAGGTGTCCGGAACCTTCTTCAAGTCTGATGTCTGGCCCTGAAGACATTAGGGACAAATCATTAAAGGTTACTTTGATTTATTACAGTAATGAAATTCATCTTAGTTTCCAAATTTTCAGGGTTTTAGTAGAAATGACATATAAGTGTCTTAGTTAATCTTATAATTCATCTTATGAACAAAAATGAGCAAAAACCAAGATTCTAAATAATAAGATAAGCCCTGGATACATGAAGGAAAAATTCAATGGTTGATTCAATTTATTTGAGTAATAAGATTCTTCATCTTTCTTTCAGTTTTCAACCCAAGGTAAAAAAATGATATAAGTGTCATGAAAGTTCATCTGTGTTGGTAGTCTAATGACGAAGACTAGAGTGACTGGTCGAAAGCTCTGGGTGAGAATATTTTCTGTTTGTGTTGGAACAAACGTTTTAACTTTAAACAAGATATAAGTGTCCTTATTTTATCATTAGTCTTTTAGAGGACTGAGCAAAGGCAACATGATTAATAAGATTAATATAGAATTCCCAACCTCATAGTCTATATTTGTTTCAATGTGATAATTACTAAGCTTTGAAATAATTGTAATGTATATTTTGGCTTCGGAGAAATTGCTCCCTCATGCTAAATTTTTCTAGTAAATATCTTAAGTTTTAGTTTACTATATATCTTATCCACGAACCTCTAGCTCTGTCTTGAGAGTGAAGAGCTCCTCCTTGGCGGAGTCGTTGAGCAGTTTTCCCAGAGACGTGACCCAGGCCTTGGCGTGGTCCTGGACGGTGGAGGCCAGCGGAGTCAGCTGGAGTCGGATACAGTCCTCATCTTTCACTAGAGGCTGTTCTGATACCTGGGAAACAACAGTAAAATTATGTTACATAGACTTGTCTCATGGGTGATAAATTTATCTTTTCCTAGAGGCTGTTCTGATACCTAGAAAACAACAGTAGGATGTTTGATTTGATAGTACAATACACGAGGGACACAGGCAGCTGTTGCTGGTGTTGTGTCCCACACATAGAATATTACAAACACATACAAAAGTACAATGTTACATAGACTTGTCTCATGGACAACCCATAACTCAGGTACTACATGTAGGCTTTTAGTAGGGGCTGTTTTCATACCATTAGTAGCTGTTACACTGATAGTAGATACCATAACAGTGTGCAGTCAGGATCATCTAAGCATCATACAACAGGACATTGCAAGGCAAATGCTGCAGACAAATACCCCCCCAAAAAAAAAAGAAGTATCTGTCCATGGTACTGAAATATGAGTATTCTGCTAAACTATCCTCTTGTAAATAGTTCAATGGATAGCCCTACTAGTTCAGCACCAAGGACAGATACTAGTAGTCTTTTTAGAATAAACTTCAACTTTCAGATCTTTAAAAAGCCTAATCTTTACATTATTAGTGGTGATAATAGATATCTATTACCTTATTTTGAGTCTAACATACAGACCTCGTGAGCGATCTTGGTGTAGAACTGAAGCTTCTCGTCGTAAGCCACACAGGACGGCTTCTTGGCAGCAAACTTCTCCATCATGATGCCCTGGAGGGGATGGGAACAACATTGCAGTCAGCTGTCTGAATATCTATACTATTGGTACTTTGCAAGATACAGTTTATGGCTGTTTATCAAATGCTGTTTTTAACTGTTACAGCAATGTGTCTTCCTGTACTTAATCTTCACCTGTACAGGGATTATGTACATGTGGATGTATGTGGACTTTTAATTTGCATTGCCTGTTACCACCTACGGAGTCTAAAAGAAATATTTAACAGCTTTTAGATCCACACTTGCTAAATTCTGAGCGGTGCAGGTAAAATGTAGGCACACACTTGGTGCTGAAAACATGGTGCCTTCCACTCAACACTGCTCAAAAGGAAAACACCAGGAGTTCAGCACCAAGGACAGGCTCAGTAAAGGAAGGGCTGCTTTTGTGTGTGTATTGCCATCAATTCAAGGCACACAAACACACCTGTACACCCTTACCTTATCCAGTTTCCAGAGCGGCCGGTATCTCTTCCACCTGCTGAGGTACTTGTTCAGCGCCATGAGGGTCTTCTGCACGTTCTGCGAGGCCGTGACAACCAGGTCGATGACCGAGGAGTCGGCGGCGATGTCGGTGAAGAAGCTGAACACGATGGGCTCGTCCTCGCCCTCTGCATGCTGGGGCGGCGTCTCGATGCAGGTGCCGTGCATCCAACGCACAAACAGCTTTGAACTGGAGAAAAAAGAGACCATGATTATTTCTACTTGCTTCCAGCATAGAGACAGCTTAATACTTTTGTCCATTGCAGAAACAGCTTAGATAATAATAATAATAATAATATACTGTTCTTGGTGGCAAATGAATACAGTTCTATAAACTGGTATCAAACTGTCATTGGCACACCAAATCAGTGTGTGACATCGATAGTCTTAAAAGTTCCGTTCCATCGCGCCTTGTCTGTTGCCTGTTCCCGCAGCCATTTCAGCATGTAGGGCGCCGTCTGGACATTCTGATGGAAGTACAGCTTCACATCATCGACCAGGCAGTCGAGAAGGCCTCCACGGGGCCTACCTCTCCTAGGTGTGAGTTTCTTACTAAAGGCGATGTTAAGTGCCTTTTGAGCAGGTGAATCAAGAGGCATGCGTAATATATGTCCAAAGAGTGTCCACCTACGTCGATGTACTTCGTTGTGCAGCGGTGAAGCCTTACACTTCTTATAGAGTTTGCTGTTAGAGATGTAGTTGGGGTAGTAATAGCCGGCTAAGCGTCGTAGCTGCTTGCGATGCCATCTGTCTATCTTGCTAGCTACCTGTTCCGTTAAACCCCAAGTTCCGGCATTATACAGCAGGACAGGAAGAACATACACGTGGAACAGCTTTAGCTTCAGCTCCAGAGAGACAGCTTTTGCTCCCCACATGTGCCACATGTTCTTCATTGCAAGGTTGGCCAGCTGGATTCTGCCTTCGATGTCATCTGCTATGCCAAGACGTGAACCTACCGACTTTGCCTTTCTCCACACTTCCTCCTTACGGTCCTTTCTCCAGCAGATGTGTACCCGCTCCGTTTTGGTAGCGTTGGCTTGCAGCTTCCATTTTGGTAGGATCTTGACAGCGTTTTCGTGTGTCTCTTCTAGGTGTTGGTAGGAGGTACTGAAAAAGTCAAGGTCATCAGCATACTGAGTTTCAGGGGGCAGCCTAAGCCTCTTGTCTTCAACGGGAGTTGGAGGGCAGGACCTGCGCAGGTCACGGAGGGCTGCTTCATAGTAAACGTTGAATAACTGTGGGCTCAGACTGTCACCCTGGGGTGAGCCGACAACTGCATGGAATGGCGGGGCCGTTTCACCTTGTACCCGTACAGCGAGGGGGGTGTCGCTCAGCAGGGCCTGTACCATTCGCACGGTGTCGTTGTCCCCTACCACGTCCTTCAACACCGATATGAGCTGAGCTCTGTCTACAGTGTCGAAGGCACGACTAAGATCAATTCCCAAGATGTGGACGTCCCACATCTTCGTCATGACCAGGTCGGCAAGAATTCTCTTGGTGAAGATGATGTCAGCTGTACTATGTCCCTGGCGGTAGGCTGACTGCGATCTGGGTAGGTAGAGGGACACATGTGGTTTGCATCGCTCCAGTACTATGAGCGAGAAGAGCTTTCGTATGCCGTTTAGCAGCACTATCGGACGAAGGCTACTGCACGGACCTTTCGGCTTGCCTGGCTTTTGTAAAGGAACCAGGATGCCTTGTCCAAGTGCGGGGATTATCTGTCCCTTGCTGAACATAGCATTGATGATCTTTGCTATTGTATTAGCCATAGGATCGTCGGGTTTGGAGGAACAGTACTTCAGGAGTTCATTGGGTACACCATCTGCCCCAAAGCTGCGTCCGTTCTTGAGCCGTGAAGCTGCCTTAGCTACTTCTCTGGCCGATACTGGATTACAGAGGGGCGCTGCTTGGAACGGGGGAAGTGGTGTCGCGTCGATGTTGAAGAGACCCTCGAAGTATTTTGCGATGACTTTGGCCTGGTCTAAAGGTTTGGAAAGCATCTCGCCATTGATGGAACGTACTGAGAGGGGGGTTCTACCACTGGATCTGAGGTCCTTCATGGCTGCAAACATCCTTGCGTTGTCATCCTTGATGGCCTCTACCTTTGCTGCTTGGGCGTACAACTTGGCTGTTGCCAGTTCACGTACCCTTGTGCGCTGATTGTTTTGCAACCTCCGTCTCTCCATCGTTAGCTTTTTCACTTTGACATGTATAGTGCGGGTCACAGTACCTCTTTTGAGCTGTTGTATACGTTGTCGAAGGTCTTTCTGATCCTTGGACATCTTTGCGACTAAAGGATCGTCTGTGAAGTATGTTTCTGAGCGCTTTCTACGCTGTTCTATTCCCATGATTTTCTTACCCTGTTCTACTAGCAGCGTCGCTGCTTCGTCCCAGGTGCTCGGTTCCTGTTCCGTCACTGCCGCAGATACTGCAGATTTCCACTGTTCTTGCTTCTCACTACTGCTTCGGAGCTCTTCCAACCGGATGTTTTTTGCCCGAGAGGCTCGCTTGGAGAACCACATCTTTCGAGGAGAAGATATGGTGGCTACCACCATCCGGTGGTCAGTGCTGATCTCTGGGACATGGTAGGCTTTAGCCTGTGTAACAGCACGCTTCTGACTGATTCGCCCGAGAACAAAGTCAATTTGGTTCCGCACGGTTCTGTTGTTTTCCGTTTGGAAACTGGACTCCCAGGTGGTGATGTGCTTAGGATGATGTTGGAATAGGGTGTTAAGTGCCACTAAGCCATGTTGCTGACAGAAGTTTAACAGACTATAACCATTCGCATAGAACAGCTTAGAACTGGGGAGAAAAGACCATTATTTCATACTTTCTTCCAGCCTACAAACAGCTTTGAACTGGAAATTGTAGAACTGAGACCATTCCATTATTTTCTACATGTATTTCTACTTTTTATCAGTGCACAAACGCCTTTGAAAACAAAAATATGGCCGTTTTTTTTTTCTATTTCTTCTTACTTTGAGCGCAACAACTGCCTCAAACTGGAAGAGGAAAACAAGCTCTTTTTTCTATTTTCTTCCAGAGCATAAACATTTCCCATTCTTACTTTCTTCAAGTGCACAAATAGCTTTGAACTTGGAAAGAAAAACATGACAGACCCTTATTTTCTATTGATCCATGATTGATTGATAGATTCATTCTTACTCAGACATATTCATATAATTATTATATGCTACATAATGCAATCCAACATCAAAATCAATCAATATCCAAGTTGAAAAACGAATTTCAGTTTGCTCACCCCTCGACAGCGTCACGGACACAGTTCATGCAGAGTTTGTAGATCTCGTTTGGGTTCGGAGTGAGAACAATCTCCGGGGCAGACAGCATGGCGTCGATCTGGAACAGCGGCCTGGGGGACGTGATGGCGCGACAGAACCACGACAGGTTCCTCTTCACAAGCTGCGGATGGATAGATTAAGCACGTCGGTGAAGGTTAGACATCCAGGTAATAAGATACACCAAAAACAGTTACTCAAGCAACTGGATATGATTTGGGAAATGGTCTGACGTTTCAGGTAGCATTCACTACCTTTCTTGAACACTTCACTAACAATAACTGCATAAAAAGTTTAGACACATCCACAATGCAGTAAAAAATATAATCTCATTCAAGTTTACAGTTATTCAAAACCTGCACAATGACAAAACATTTGTATGATAACCTTCAAAAAGTCAAAAGAGCAAAAAAAAACATGTTAAATCTGAGCAGTAGACACTAAGATGGGCCATGCACCCCTGGGCAAACAAAACAGAAACAAACTAGCAAAGAAACAAACAAACACGCACAGCAGTAAGAGAGTTGTAGACCCTTCTCTCCCAGTAGTTGTAGTAGGAGTGGAGTTTGGGAGATTTCCCCGTGTTGGTGTGGACCACCAGACCCTCCATCTTGGTGAGAAGCGGTCCGATCGCGCGGTATTTTCTCGCGAGAAGCTCGTAGTCTTTGGACCTCTCCCGCTCTATGTACTCAAAGAATTCCTGTGGAAGGAAATTAAATCTGTAAGCAGGGCTACATACAGACATTGGTAACATGCTAGTGTAGTTCTAATCCAACTGAAGATGAAAACATGATTTTGCAACACCTAAGATACAACTTGTAACTGTTAGTATAATTTGCAACAGTTTTTATCAATTGTTTTTCATGTCCAAATCCTAAGACCCATAATCTTATCAGTATAGTCATATAGGTGTTATCAATAAGACAAAATTTTTACTTTCATGTAGTCTATACCTGTCCCTGGTGCTGAAAACAAGGTGCCTTCCACTGAACACTATTCAAATGGAAAGCACCACGAGTTCAGCACCAAGGACAGGTTCAGTACTGGTACTTTGGTTTCAACCTAAATTCCCAAGAGAAACTGACATTAAGAAATATTAGCATACACCTCTATTTGGCCAATTTCCACTATTTTTAGCCTCTTTGGCCTTAAGTCTCGTGTATTTCTAGCAGAATTCTCACCTTGGCCCCAGGTAAGGTCTCGCCAGCCTTGGGAGGGGGGATCTTGAACAGGTTGGCGCTCTCCACCATGCCCAGACGAGCGTTGATGTCTCGTGCATTCTTCTGGATCTGGTTCACCAGCGACTCAAACTTGCCCATGGCCTAGGGGAACAACACAAGCTTGTTAGCTTTCATTACAAGAAAAAATGTAAAATATTTAAAACAGTTTGACAATGAAGTAATCAGTGATGGAAGATTTCCCCCACACACACATGCATCGAGTGTCCATTAATGCAATCACTCATAGAGTCATAGCTCTTATTGGCCGGGAAAACAGACGGACACAAAGAACTAATATGTCCAGCCTATCTAGCGGTATGTCTAAATGGGCTAGAGTTACGATCAGGCATAGTTCTGGATAGTCTTTGCATATTCAAGAATATAGATTTGTCCCGGTACAGTTCTGGATACATGTGGACTATCCAGAACTTTGGCTGGGCATGGTTCTAGATAAAGCACAGTTCTAGATAAGCATGGCCTATCCAGAACTGTGCCTGACCATGGTTCTGGATAAAGCATGGTTCTGAATATATGTGCATGGACTATCCTGAACCATGTCTGAGCATGGTTTTGAATAAAGCACGGTCCCGAATACGTGTGGGCTATCCAGAACTGTGCATGAGCATGGTTCTGGATAAAGCAAGGTTCTGGATACAGCAGAGATGCTGAGCAGTGCCCCACCTGCTGTACTCTGGAGACGTAGTCGTTGATGCCGAGAGAGTTCCAGTTGAGCCGCTTGTAGCCCGGCCGCAGGACTCTCCGCAGCTCCCGGATGTGCTCGTCCAGTAACTGGGTCTGCAAAACACAGGAACAAGTCTACAGCTACATGTATAGCAAAATTTGCTGGATACATACTTGCTGCAAGGCAGCTAAAAGAACAATCTCTTAATCTTTTTCTTTATTTCTTTATTTTAGGCATGATTCGCCCACATAAAACAGACAGATCTGTTGCGTAAAGTTGTTAGAAAAGATTCAGATAATTGCTTTTAATCTGACAAAAGCAGTTTTGGCAATTAGAAAATGAGGCAAACCAAAACATGTTAAACTTCAGCTACATAGAGCAGTCACAGAAATTTCCAAAAATTGCACCAGAACATAACTTAAGTAAAGAAGAGTAAAGAAACATTTTGTGCCACATCAAGACTTCAAGACACATCAGAAAAACTTTCCTCTGAGGAGAAAAGTGGAAAGGAAACCTGCAACATAGAAAGAATAAAATGGGAAATGTTTTCATACCTCAGCTTCATCCAGTGAGCCCAGTAGTGAGTGGTACCGGTTCAGCATGTGACGCAGACCGTCCACATACCGGATGTACTTGTCCTCCTACAGTCACAAGAAAACCGAACAAAACATTCGTGAATAATTCCATCAGGTTAGCAAGAGGCTGTATAAGAAGATTCTTTATTCAATAACGTTTTACATCTGACGTTTTGGTGACCGTCTGTCACCTTCTTTAGGGCAACAATGACTGGTTCTGATTCATACTGCAGCTAGATGTCTGCATTTTGTTTAAATGCATTATACAAAATATAATTATCATTTTTTGTGTGTAGTTTGAACTCCCTGAGGCACTAGCAATCAAAACGCCGCGTTTTCTGAACATATTTTGTAACTATAAGAACTAGTTCTGCCCATACCTGCAGTGCTACGTTCCTGGCAGTCTCTGGGATGGGGAAGCCGAGCTGTTCCATGTACTTAGTCTCTGTGATGATCTCAGAAAGCTCCGGGGCAAAGTCAACCACATACTTCACTTTCTTCCCTTCCTCACCTGTAAGAGAGTGGTTTAAGATTACCAAATGTTAGTAATGCAAGACTTGCTCAACATTGTTGAACCTACTTTGATTTAGAACCAGACTATTTTTGCAACAGGAATTCAAGAAACCATCACAGCATTACAACCATCCTTCAGCAGAGAATGCCACAAACTTTCAGCTACATATGATCCTAATAAAAATTGGGGATAAGTCCAATTTTTTCTGTTGGAAATTGCACTTCAAATCTGTTTCAGAAGCATGATGTAGTCAAGCAAGGCATCTGACCAGTGGAAGGGATGACAAAAATATACTGCAGTTTGCTTAGGAGCCTGACCATTGGAAGGTCTGGTAGAAGCGTGATGTAGTCAGGCTTGGGGCCTGACCAGTGGAAAGATGGCTACAAGCATGCTGTATTCAGGGCTGTCCTTACCAGCAGCAGGAGCCTCCTCCTTGCCCTGCCCCTCCTCCTCACTCTGCTGAGGCTTGGCCAGCAGGTTTCTCTTCAGGAACCCCGGCAGGACCTGCTCTACCTGCTCCCGCCACGCAGCGTACTTCTCATCCTCAAACACCTTCATCTCCTTAGCAACCGTCAGGTATCTCATACGAGCCTGTGGAAATAAAATATTCATTATAACTAGAAACTTAAGGTAACATTTGTTAAGCAAATGCATAATGTTTACCTTCGCATATGGTCTGCTCTGTTAATTCTTACTCAAACACATTCATATATATGGTGATAGTAGTCTACATCCCTCCTGCTATGAAATTGCAACATGATGTAATCCAACACCAGTTACCATGGTGACAGACATCTGGTCCTGGTCATTGACCTTATGGGTTTGGAGAAGAAGAACATGAAGAGTAGTTCATTGAAAGAAAACATAGTTTTTGGTCTGTTTCTTCTTCTCCAAGCAAATAAGGTTAATGACCTGGACCAGATGTCTGTCACTATGGTAACTGGTGCTGTAGCGGACACCCTGTGATGTCAGATTACATTATGTAGCATCCATTAAAAAGTGGTCACCATATATCGACTATAAAACTATGGCCTAAGACAATACATTCAGCACACGTTATAGCGGCAACGTTTTGATTTTTCTTCAATGAGCTGGAAAAAACAAACAAACAAACAAGTAAACAAGCCCACCTGTTTGCCCTGGTCGGTGGACAGCATCTCGTCCAGCACCTGGAACCTGATGATGACGTGCTTCATGCGGTGGAAGAGCGAGCGCTCCCACATGATCGCCCCGGCAACGGGAGGCTGGTTCTTGGAGAGAGGAGGGTCGTCCTTGTACTGCTGGTAGATGGAGTTCATCGTGTCCACCTGGGGGGGGGAGGAGGAAAGGCGGACGTTAGCATAAGTTTGCTTGCTTATTCAGGGCTCCAAATACTGGGTGGATATGCACCTTATTGCAGGTAAAATTGGAGCTGTGCAGGTATTTCTGATGTCTACCTGCACCTAACCTGCACTGGTCCATGTACTGGGTATATGCAGGTTAGTGCAGGTAAACTTGGAGCTGTGCAGGTATTTCTGATGTCTACCTGCACCTAACCTGCCCTGATCCATGTACTGCATGGTATATATGCACCTTAGGTAAATTGGCACTGTGCAGGTAAAAGATGAATGTTAGGCTAAGCATAAGTTTGCTTGCTGGCTTATTTGTTTATTTAGAATCTCCATTATTAACTAGTTTTCTCCCTCCAAACTCAATCTCTCGGGAGGAACTGACTGAAACCTTCTTTCCTATAAAACTACATCACATTTCAGACTCTGTGACTCACGGTGGAACAAGATTCCTTGTGAATGCTTCCAAAATGGGTTCAACCTCAAACTTTTGAAGTCTAGGGTAAACAAACATCTGTCTCTACAGTCCCTCATTGTAACTCAAAACTTGTGTATGATAACAGCACATTGGCAGAACATACTGCACCTGTGCTAAGCCCTGATTTTTCACAGTTTCTGTCGGATAATTGGTCAACGTTGCATCAGAACTTTACCTGCTGCAGACGATATCTTTGCTGACACGACATTTGAAAACTACAGACCTTATAATATATACACCACCTCATAATATATACACAAATACGACCTTATATGAAACATTCTGCCAAAGTACTATGCACAACACATCACATATTTCACACAGGTGCTGTACATTCTGCCGACATGCTTGTGATAACCCACCTCCTTGCCGAACTGCAGCAGGATGTCGTTGAACTTCCTCATCAGCTGAGTGTTGATGGCGTCGCGCGTGCGGATGTGCTTGAACTTGAGCAGCAGGTCGAACGCGCCCTCCGCTGACCTCAGGGTCTTGAAGGACTCGTCGATGAAGTGCTTGGCCTCGCCCTCGATGGCCAGGACCTCCCGGTTAAACCAGTCCATGACCGCCTTCCACTGGTTCTGGTGCCGCAGACCGAACGGGTCGAAGCTCACCTGGTGGCAGGAAACGTTAACATTGGTAAAGATATTCATGAATAATGTCATCAAGTTGGTGAATGATTGAAGCCAATATGCCAAAAAACAGTTACTCAAGCAACTGGATATGATTTTGAAAACGTCATATCCAGTTGCTTGAGTAACTGTTTTTTGGCATATCGTATTACCTGGATGTCTAACCTTCATCGACGATTGAAGCCAATGTTTCAATGAACGTCTTTAATCTTTATTGGGGCAATTATGACCCGAAACACCCAATGATTCCAGGTACATCACTGACGATGTGTCCCTGTCTGCACCACAAGTGTATTCTAGAATGACTGGATCACTGTGCACTGAAGCTAGGTGTTACAGCTAACAATGGTAACAACTGGAAAAGTTTATAAAAATGTGTTTAAGCCACAAAATGGAAGATGTATTACATCCAGTTTCAGCTCACTGAAGAACACTTGTGGCACTGACTAAACAAACAAAACTTACACAGACTAGCATAGAGAGAAATCTTTATTTAGGTATTCCAGTTATCAGCGATCTCAAAGTTGTTCAAACACTGTCTGTGTGTAATCTTTCTGAGACCTTAGTGACTCATTGGTTTGGCCCAACAGTCTCTATTTTTCAGTAATGAGGCCGTGATAAGAAATAATCATAAGACTGTTGCTCTCTGTGTCTTTGTCAGCAGGGCTAGCCCTTTGCAATTGAGGCACAGCCTAGTTGAGATGCCATAGCTGAGTGCACTGAACAGCCAAAACAATAAAAAATGAAACAATAAGACATTTTTCTACCTCCTCTACAGGTTCCACCAGCCCGTCCACTCTCTTCAGCACATCTTCGATCCTCTTGGGATCTCCCGTAACAGCCTTCAGCTCAGGGCCGAAGATGTTGTAGAATTCTTCAAGGACCTACAAACAAAAAACAAAGACATTGACAACTCTTGCTCTGTGCAGGAAGCAACTAAATGGTAGACCAAAAATAAAGTGAACCAGTCGTTATTACTATTTGCTTTCGCAAGTATTCCTAAGTTTAAGCCTTAGTTCCAACTCGAAAAGAAATAATTACCATGAATTTTTGGTAAAAAATGTCAACCTTCATCAGATTTATGACTCTTTGGAAAATTCATGTCTTTTTTTCGTGTTTGTGTTGGAACTAGGGCTTAAACTTTACTATGGAACTTACCAACACAGGCGAGCTTTCATTCAAAATAAAATTAATGTTACTATTTGCTATTTGAGTTATTTAAATGAAAAATGGAGAGCAAAAGATCTATCCTTGACTGACCTGTGCGATGTCATAGATATCCTGACAGATAGAAGCCATGTAGTCTGTTCTCTCAAACAGTTTCTTGCGGTCAAACTCCCATCTGGAGTCTCTTCCGGAAGCCTCAATCTTCGCTCTGACGTCGAAGTAACACTCCTTCCACAGCTCCAGGGTCTTCTTGGCCTCCGAGGTTCTGCTTTTTACCTGTTCTGTCTTCTCTCTGAGGTGTGGAAAAGTTCAGAGTTATTACTTATTACATTACATTGTTGTACTTTACTCAATGACATACTCGTTGAAATAAATTATAGAAAGTAATAGAGAGCCGGCAATAACTACGGAGGATTGAACCCAGGCTGCTGACACTCAACAAGGAACCCCAGAACTCAGTGCAGAGCCAACTCATAAAGGCCGCACAGACCAGCATCACTATGTACTACCGCAAATATCACATTGCCAGCTTTGTATATCTGTGGTTTAGCAACATTTTTTTTGGCTGGAATTTTTTTTACTTGCCCGTGCACACTAGTTGGGGGGTCTTAAATATAGACAATATCATCCATAAAATTAAGTCAGTTTGTCTAATCTGTACTCACTTGAAGATAGTCCTGATGTTGATGACCCTTGCGACGCGCTCGGCCAGCTCCCAGGCGATGCGCTCCATCAGAGGCACCATCCGCTCGTCACGGTTGTAGTGTCTGGAGATGATCCACACCATCCGCAAGGCGTTCATCAGCGAAGGGATGGTGTCCAGGACTACGTTGAACCCTGTACCATGCGTCAGGTTCTGTAGGAAAAAGGGAAAAATCAATAGCAACCACTTATTAACAAGAGCAAAGTTAACATTCACCAGTGATGTTATCATGAGTGTCCAGGACTACGTTGAACCCTGTAACGTGCGTCAGATTCTGCCAGGAAAAAAGAAAAACAAAATTATGACAGTTCTTAGTGGCAAATGTACAGTTCATGGCACTCTGGCAACAACAAATCCATACAATGTTAGGACACTCTTAAACAGACTAATGGAGAGGTCCAGTGGGTCATTCTAGCATAAAAATGGTAAGTTGTCTGAAGTTCCTTTCCAAAGAGCACAACTACAGGGAATATCTGGGGATCAAACCCATGACCTCTTGGTTCTGAGCCAACTCCTTTGACCATTAAATCATGCAATGCCCAAATATATAACTTAAAGAGAAAAGGAAAATGTACTTTTATTTATCTGGGAAATATGTGCTCTAGAGCACTTAACTAGCCTGGAGTCCAAAATGCTTTAAGATCTTGTACCTTGAAGTGTCTCTCCAGTGTAGAGAGGAACCTGACGTTGTCTTTCGCCTCCACGTAGAACTTGGTGAGGTCGGCTCTCTCTGACTCAAACGACTGGACAAAGGAGCTGTCTGCCTTGGTCAAGATGGTCAGCATCTGTGGACAAGCATATGGCAAGAACAGTTAGGATTGTAAACAGAGATAGGGGGGCATAGGTTATTTGTCTACAGTCTTGCGTCTTTGATGTCAAAAACCACAACTAAATGGGTCCACTCTGATCTGTGAAACCAAGGATTTGGGTAAGTCCCATAGAATTTCAACAGTTACTCTTTGTTTACCATTTCTACAGGGTATGATTAATGCTGCAGACAAAAAAAAAATACAAAGGTTTAAACTCTTACACATGATGAAACAGTTCAGTTATACAGTTCAGAAACAAAAATCAACATACTCTGCAGACTAACATGTACAGTATTCAATACATGTACATGACCTGGTGCAGCTATAGACGTTAGGATTACCTGTACATGTACACGTAACAGCTAAAATTTTACCTGCACCATTTACTTGCATATGTAGGTGGTATTTCAACTCATCCACATGTTTCCTACCCTTTCAAAACAGTCACTGATGATGAATGTTCTTACTAACTGTTAATCTATACATGACTGATGAACCTCTTCAACAACTTATCCTACCTTTTTGACGACAGGAATTTTGAGCTGTTCGTGCAGTGCGCTGAGGGCGGCATTACGTTCCCTCCAGAAGTCGATCTCGGCCAGCGGACCGTTCCCCTGCGGAGTTTTCTTCTGCTGGTGCTCCAAAGCCTGGTGGATCTGCCGCTCCCAACTCGACGTCGCATTCTCTATCTGCAGGGGGGGGGATATTTTTTTAACATGAATTTATTGCAAATTCTGTAACTCTCATCATTTTACGTTTGGAACTAACTGGTAATTAGTTATCTTGATGAAGGCGACTGTGGTCATTGAAAATTTTATCTCTGTGTACTCTATGATTACTACTAACACAGATGTATACTTTCATGATAATTTATTGCAAGTGGTTGACAACTGAAATTTAGGTGCACAGTAAAAAGTTTTGGGCGTAGAACATGAAAGTAGAATGTCAGCAAAACCTAGTTATTTAGATAAATACTACGAATATGATATGTATATACTTACATACTCTAACAGTGCTATGATTTGTCAAGAAATGTTTCAACCTTCTCCTTACTGCGTAACTCCATAACCAATAGAGAACTGGTAGCAAAACAGCTACTTCAGTGTGACAATAAAAAGGTTAAAGGTCAAACCCACCTCTTCCACAAGAGCTGAATCCTTGGCCAAGTCGACCTCTGACCCCTCCAGGTTCAGCTCGGGAATTTCCAGCCGAACTTCACCCTCAATCTGACCAATCGTGCGGCTGATGTGGCCTGGGTAGAGGTAGGTAGTTTAGAATACTAGTAATATTTTTAGAAATGCACATAAAGCTGGTGTTTTACACTAAAGCTAAAGGTGAATGATTGATCAACAAAGTTCTTTATTTACAACCACTTGTTCAATAAGTGCTGACTTTTTTTATGACATGGTCATAATTGTCTCAATGAAGATGACAGTCATCAAATCATAGGCTCTTGTTAAACATACCATTTTGAATACAGAACTGTGCAGTACAGACAGTAAAACAAGACTGCCGAGGGGGGGGGGTACAAACTCAGGACTGACGAGGGGGGTACAAAACTCGCTGCAAAAGCGCCACCTACATTGGCTACATATAAAAGAGAGAAGCAGAACTCCAGTCAGAAGCTTTGAGAAAGGTGTCTGATAGTCATCAAAACGTCACCAAAAACTATCTTCAAGTTGGTTGTGTAAGCGAAAACCCCTATATCCATTAAAAAAAAACAGTATAGATAAGAAAGACCAGGTCTTACCTGTAAACTTCTGCATGTTGATGAGAAACTCGTCCCTCAGCAGTGCCCTGGTCTGAGACTCCTTAATGTTGAACTCCCCCTCCTCCTGCCCGTGGTCCTCTGGTGGGGCCCGGGGGGTCGCAGCACCACG